TCGGACTCGACTCTCTCTGGTCTCGGTCTCGACTCGGACTCGAGTGAGGTGGTCTCGACTACAACACTGGCTATAGGGGCTGAAAAGAAAAACGCTCCTAGTGTGCGCCTGGCAAAAAGAGAAAATGTGAGAAGACGCTCTGGGATGCATTTCCCGTACAACTATGTAGTTCGCTGCTTCACTACCATAGTACGATTGCATCGTTGGAGAAATCAACTAGCTAGTCAAGACTGTTTCCACGAAACCCATTGTCGCAAAGTATCATTCAATAACGTTGGTTTCGCACGTGGTGGAGTAATAACTACTTTTAATGAAACTGTTTGAGATCCAATTAAGGCTAGATTTTTATATATAAATTACGGACATGTCATCTGAGGACAATTTCTAATTGTTCTCAGTTGTTTTGCTTTATTACCAGACTCAATATTTGGCTCGTTCTTACATAGTAGAGCACGTTCGCACATGCGCAAACTCTTCAAACACGGTACTTTAAACCTTTTGAAAAACTAAAAGATGTAAATTACATTTGTATGTATTCTAAATAAAAGCCACCGGTTGTACTGAATGTCAGCTTGCTTATTTTGCTCAGGATAAGGATTTATTACATCCAAATGTGTTGTTATATAGAAACTATGCCTCTAACCACAGGTTGAGAGCTGTCGTTCAAACCACGCAACTTTGCGATTCTGTTTGCGAATGTTCGTTGGAACGATTGTTTTGGGAACACCGACTCGTTGAACTATGCTGATTATGACGGAACTTGCGATCATAGTTGGCTAACGATGCTTTCGGGAAATGCACCCCTGATTGGTTTATTGCACGTTACACCCAAACCACACCTATGAGTAAATGTTGCTACTTCAGACCAACCCATTTTAGATTTGGGCCGAGATCGGCCCACAAAATAACTTGCATTTTGCGTTTAATACTTGTGTTTCAGATCCTTAAAATAGGGCCCTATGCCTTTTGAGTTAGACTTTATTTCGATAGTCCAGTTTTGACATTCTACTAACAATACAGTATGTAACTTTGCAACTACTGTCAACTAATCCTCATTAATGTGCAACTACTGTACATGTCAACTAAATCACATTAGAATATTAGTAGACTGTTACGTTAGTAGGGTTAGTAGAATAAGTTGGCGTATAGTTGCAAAGTTACTTATAGTCAGTTTTGGGGAAGCTACTCTGAAACTGTAGTTTTACAAGCTACAAGCTAAGTTAAAGTAGTTAAACTACAGTCAAGCTACACTTTTGTAAAAGTAGTTAGCTACACTACAAGTTACTATCAAAAAGTAGCTAGCTACATTGAAACTACTTTTACTTTTTTGAACAACGTATATTATTAATAACTGAATAAGTGTCTGAGGACAGAATGGGACAACAATACTTTTTGAAAGGGGACAACAATAGTTTTTGAAATCATAATTCTATTGCATTGTTTTAAACACTAAATGTTTTACTTAAACATTTAGTGTTTAAAACAATGCAATAAAATTATGATTTCAAAAAGTATTGTTTTATTACACACAACACCAAAATATCTCAGAATGTTTGTCAAAAGTGCAAAATTGCAACAAATAGCCTACAACATTGCAAGAAAAAATATACATCCAACGTAAATTGCATGTTGAACATTTTCTCAAAAATACCAATTGAACTTGGACAAATAAGGCCATGGGTAATTAACTTTAGTTGTTTCTCCATCCTCCAAATCTGCCGTCACATCTTGCTCCATCATCATGTGTGTGAACCGTTAGCCGCAAGATGCGTGATTAAACAACAGGTGGCGGTAATGACAAAAAAATGAGTTTGTAATCTAACAAGAAGAAGAATATCCTTGCATCACGCTGATTCGCGCAGGCTCGACAAACACAATGTAGCTGTTGCTCGAGCAACACCGCTATTTGCTGCAAAAAGTAGTTAGCTACTGGAAAAGCTACACTGTTTAAAAAGCAACTGAGCTACAGCCAAGCTACTGAAAATTATAGTTCATTAAGTGGAGTATCAAAATAAAGTGTTGCAGACTTTATTTATTCTGCTTGATCACAGAAAAACATTTTTGAAGAACTTTGGGGTCTAAACAACATCGGTCTCCACTGACTTTCCTTATATGGAATTTTGACACTGTGGTAGGTTTTTTTGTTAACTGTCTCTTTAAGTAGCAATTTCAGTCTCATGAATAGTAAATGCATCTGACGTATGAAAATCCCAGGGGTCTAGATTAACTCAATTAGTGGTCTAGAGTTGGAAACCATGTGTTCAACATTAAGGCCCGTGAGAGCTAAACACTCATAATAACTCACAGTTGACGGGACTGTCCATTATCTTCCTCTTCAGCCGGTAGAGCTCTGCTGTAGGACTCAGAGAGTTCAAGGCTAGTAGAGGCTTCAGGACAAACTCCTCCAGCAGAACTTCAGTCACACCTGCTTCCTTCACCTTCAGCCACGGGCCCACAGGTAGTGGCAGCCTAAAGATCAGCTCGCCCTCACTAGAGGAGAAAAAGTTTGGAATTATACACGGTACATTTCTGTATGAATCACTGCTACCGTAAGTCCAAATCAAAATGTATATAATTAATTATATTGCTGTTATGTCACCTATTTTAAAAGAGTAAAATGCATTAAACAGTGGTGAGACCTAATGGACTGGTAATCCAATTTTTGTTAAGCGTGCCAGAGTTTCTGGGTTCTAATTCGCCCTCAATTTTTTTCTTTTATTGTTAAAACCAAAGATGTTCATCAGAGATTGTATAACAAGAGCAGAGACACTTTGTTTGGATTTTGTTTTGTGAATTCGCCGAAACAAATAGAAAGTCTCTGCAACAGCCTCAAGCGATAGATTGAAGCGCTCTTTTGTGTGAAGACTGTGCATGAGCGCCAAGAGAATTGCCTAATGCTAATGATAACAGCAGCAATAAACATTCAGCATGATTTCAAAAACAACACATTCCAGAGCTAGATCTCTTCTTATTTAGCTTTCAATCACAAAAATACAAACATCTGACAAACAACTTCAGCATCAGTATAAACAGACGCAGCAAACAGTGAAACAAAAAAGTATCTTTTATCTGCTTAAACTATTCATGCCATGTAGCATTGCTAGTATCCGGAGTACCATATTATCCAGAGAGTTCGAACCTTGATGGTCCTCGATGGACATTTGCTGCTATTGTGGAGTGGGTTCTGGTGATCAATGGATCCCCATTAACTGTCTGCTCTGCTGAAGAAGACATCACCAGCCCCAGACCCCAGCCAGCCCAATCCCACACCCTACACTGAGAGTAAGCCAGAGCTCACCGCAGACACAGAGCCCGAGTCTGCCGCGATGCCAGCACCAGAGTCAACACCTGAGCCGATCATAGTCCTGGAGCCCGAGCCCCAGGGAGTCTGACTAGGTGCGTGAGCTGGCAACATCGTCCTTTGTCAGTGAGTGTGCTTGTGGAATTCGAGGACATGCCCACACTCCCATCCCTAAGGGTGAGCTACAGCTGGCCTCTGCAATATACAATGAGGAAGTGGAAGAGGAAATTCCCTTTAATCTCCTGTTGCCACTGGTCCCGCCCAGCTCCAAGTCTCCTGTGTCTCCATAGATCCTGCCCAGAATCCTTCTCTGCTTATAACAGCCAGTTCCTCATCCCCGTGCACTCTGCTGCTTGGATCTGCCTTGGGTCTTCCGGTCTCCAGCTCCGCCTTGTCAAGAGGATCCCCTGGCTCTGCATCTCAGAATGGCGACTAATCGTCTACACCTCGGCTCCTCCTTCCCTTGGCTCAACTGGGACCATTCTCCTTACATATGTCTCCAATTGGCTCCTTAATCCCTCCGGCTTTGCCTTGGTTATATGTCGCTCTGCCTGTGCCATGGACTTCCAAGCCTTCACCTACGCTTCATCCCTCCACCCCTTCGGCTCCATCGGGCTCCGCCTTACCTCCGGCTCCACCTTGGTCCTCAGTCCTATGAGCTGCGCCTCAGTCTAAAGATCCATTGTGTCACTTGGATTGATTGACTCTTCGGCTCTGCCTGGGTCTCCAACTCCATCAGCATCAATCTCAGTTTGTCATCCACCTGGATCACTGCCAAGTCTGCATTATGGCTTCTCCCTCCCTTGACTCCACAGTGGGCCTTTGTCCTGGCTGTGGTCTGGGTCCCCACCTGGCTTCTCTTGCTCTTGTCTCCTCCCTCCAATTGATCCCAACCTGGTTTCTCCCACCTTAACTCTTTCCCCGCCAAACACGGAATTTTCCGGGTTTAATGAAAAAACTCATCTGCGCCAAACACAGAATTTTCCGGGTATCCGTGTTTTAGGTGGTATACGGTAAGGAAGACCCGCGCTCATGTCCTGAATGAGTGCGCAACTCTTTGATCAGAGAAACAGATTGCAATCGTCTCAAACAGTGGAGTAGTGAGAATGTATCAGACAGACAATGCAGAGGTATATGGCTGAAGTACTGGAGGTTAATGGACTCGGAGTCCGATCACTCTTTATTTGATAATTCTGAATCTGATCGGGACGAAGTAGTCAGTGAGAGAGATGCACATGTTGTCACAGAAAGTTCTAGCCATGGACGTGCCGCAGAGAGATCGTATAATATTATGACACTATAATATGAATGTGTGTGTGCAGGCCTTTATGTGTGGCTGTCTAAATATGAAGGTGTAATTGTCAAATTATTTCTCTCTTTGTGCACATTTACCACATTGTAATATGTATTTGTGTGTGTGTGTGTGTGTGTGTGTGTCTAGGCCTGTTTATTGTAATTCCAATTATTCATTATTCACAGGTAGAACACAGAGAGGCAGAGGCAGAATTTTTATTGCAAAAGTTACATTTCCCTTACATCCTGGGAAATTTGATATATTTTACATTTATTTTATGTTTTTAATTTATTTTGGAAAGTTTTATATATGAAGGAAACAACATCTGAATGTATTCTGCTTTTAAATGCACTTGTTTGATAAAAATCCCTTTTTTCTCAGTTTTTTGTCCAAAATGTTGTGTTTTTGACAAAACCTACCTCTGTTCAAGAGGCAATAAAAAAAGAACAGATGAAGATAAAATAAAAACGTTTTTTTTTTGCCTAAAAGCAGAGGCTCAGATCTTTATTTTTATATATATCATCTTCATATATTCATGGAAGAAAATATTCAGCGGGGCATTCAAATTTAGCGAAAATCGTCAAAAACCCTGGCGGTGGCTGGCAACTTTTTTTTAAAACGCTGGCGGGGAAAGAGTTAATCTCCTGTTGTTTACTGCCGTTCACCAGCTCCTCGTCCTCCTCATAAGCCCCCTTCCTCCCTCCTCAGTTGGACTTGTTACACCGCGAAGATGCACCTTCTGGAAGGAGAAGCTACTGTAATGGTCTTGTTCTGTTTTGTTTTCATTTTCCTTCTGTTGCCCGTTCTGCTTTGCCTTAGTTCTGTTTGGTAGTTAGTTTCTGTGGTTTCTAATTGGATTACATTCACCCGTTGATCATTTAGTCACCTTGTTATCCCTGTGTATTTAAACTCTGAGTTTCCTCTGTTCATTATTCCGTGAAGTATTTAGTTAAAGTGGTTGTGTGTATTTCTCCTGGTTATTTCCCAAGTGTTACCTTGTTGGATTTATTAAAGACTGTTTTTGTTCACTTTATCACGACCTGATATTAATGTCTGTGAGTTTGGTTTACTTGTAGGTGAGCTTAAAGAGTGGTTTGTTTTTGGCTTACACATTGGATTAATTGGCATCATATCAATAATAAACGTACAAAAAACAAAGTTTTATCACAAACTAAATTGCCCCAAATTTATAAATACATATTTACATATTGAAAATTAGTGATTGTTTTGAAATTGTATTTTAAAAATGTATTATGGAATACAAAACTTTTAATTGTTACTATTGTGGTGTATGTGTGCTGGGAGCCTCATACCAGCATGATTTATGTGAATAACTGGGTTAATGATATTAATCAGATTATGGTGTTGGGGTGAGCCAAAAAAAAAAAAAAAAAAAAAAAAAAGGGAATGTTGGTAACCAGAGTGACTTCCAACATTGATTTCCATAATATGGAGGGGGGGAAAAAAAGATTTGTCTAAATATATGTTACACAGAAAAATGAAAGTCAAACAGGTTAGAAAATATGGTAACACTTTACAATACGGGTGCACTAATAAGCATTAATTCATGCTTAACTAATGCACAGATAATACTGAATTAATGTGTAACTAATGATTATCTAAGCTATTCATTAATGATTACCACATTATGAACTAATTAAGAGTCTGTAGGGTCAATTTATTAGTTCATACATGAATTGTTATTAATTAAATATGTAAACGTGGATTAATTCCATGATAACTCATTTTTTAACTAATAGTGTTAATTAATATGTTAATTACCAGAATGAGCCAAAGCCTTGTGTTTCAACTTCCAGATAATATGACAGGTACATTAATATGCATTAATGTATGATTAATTACGTCATTGTTAGTACAAATTCATGTGCAAATCACTGCAATTACTAAATGACTAGTTAATAATGATGTGCCCCAACAAGTAAAGTCATAACATAATGATACCTTTGGAAATCATTAGCTAATGATTAATTAAAGTAGACAACTGGAAGTTGAAGTTCATAGCTTTGACTAATTGTGGTAATTAACACATTAATTTACACTATTAGTTAATAAAATATGTTATTAAGGAATTAATACACAATGACACATTTAATTAATAGCATGTATTACTTAATTTATTAATCATATAGACTCTTTATTAGTTGCTGATGCAGTAATCATTAATGGTTAATTCTTCATAAGTTAGTTATATATTAACTCTTATTATCTGTGCATTAGTCAAGTATGAATTAATGCATATTAGTGCAGCCGTATTGTAAAGTGTTACCGGAAATACGGATAGAAATGATGATAGAATTGTCATTTATGGTGAACTACCCCTTTAAGCTAAGACTACTACTTATAGTGATAATGGCACCATGGCAACTTTTTTTGTGATGAAGGGATGATATCTGGCCTATTCATATTTACAAATTAGTTTGGTTTAATTTTATTTTGATAGTCCTTTAACACTTTATGTTAGTAAAGTAGACTGTTAGGTTAGGGTTAGAATAAGTTGACGTGTAGTTGCAAAGTTACCTATAGTCAGTAGAATGTGTTGGGTGATCATCACAATAAAGAGTTATGTGATATTAAGCAGAGAGTCTATTAATACTCTAATGAGTTACTTACAGTAAACAGAATGTTCAAAAGGCACCATCAAAATAAGGTGTTACCAATTCTTTTGGCTGATGTGTATCGTTGGTATGCTTCCAGATGTCACCACAGCATTTAAATCAAATTGAGGTCAGAGCATTGACCACTTGGCCATTTTAATTTACGCAATTTGAGAATTATGTTGTTGATTTACTTCTGTGTTTTGGATTGTGGTCATTCTGCATGAGTTTTAGATCATTTCTTGACAATCCACTGTACAACTTAAAATTCATTAGTCCCTCGATGATTAATGCAGTCCAGACCCTGAGGCATCAGCGAATCTCCATATCCCTCTGCAGACATGTGCCTCACAGTTGGGGATGAGGATTTGTTGTTGGTATGTTCTGATTTTAACAAAATGTCCTGCTGTGTATAATTAGCAAACAGTCTCACTTGCCCCCAGACCATTGCTCCAGTAGTGCTCGCAGCATCCAGGTGGTCTTTAGCAAACTTGAAATATGAAAAGTGAGTTCTTTTGGATTGGATTTCCCGTTATTGCGTGATGAAATTATATTGTTATTGTATTTATTGTAATTATATGCAATCAATATACACTGTAGTGTGCTTCAAAATGTATTTATAAAACTGTAATTGCAGATTATATAATGTTAATGAAATAAAAGGCCACTTAAGTGTACACTTTCATGATAAAGTGCACTTTGTACATTTAAAATAATTGATTTAATAATCTTTTGGTATGCTTTAAAGTACACCTTTTTGATGTGTTTATTATAATTTTAATGTGTTATTCAATATTATATTTAAAGATAATATTTTAAATAAATTGCAATATATATATATATATATATATATTACATTCAAGTTTCAATAGCAATGACATTAAAGTATATTTTTAATTGCCCATAAAAGCTTGTTACTACAACTTTACCATATTCAAAATATAATATAATTATAAACATAAAGATTTACTTAAAAGGGGGAAAAAACACTCTTCAGTTCAGCCAATTGCATTTTATATAAATTTCAACTACATTACATTTCTCGGGCAATGTTACATCATGCCCGCTAAAAATGTTAAAATAGACTTTAATTCAGAGAATAAAGACATGCTCAAGCAGTCATCGCATTTATAAATTGCACTTTTAATGTTTTGTTAAACAAATAAATAAATAATAATAATCACGTCATTGACTAAAAGTATGTTTCTTTGTTATTTAAAGCTTAATAAAATTATAAATTATTATTATAACTCATTTTTGTAGTTATGCCAAGCTGTAAAATAGTTTCAAGCTCTATCCAAGGGCATCTCAATTTAAAGGATCCTTTGAATGCCTTCATTTCCTGTCCTTCATTCACTCTGTTTTGAAGGATGCATCCAGTGTATCCTTTGAGCCCTTCAATCACCCACAATCCTTTGCACACATTCCAATAATAATAAAAAAACAATGCGCAGAAAATGAATAGGTGCTGAGCTTGTCCAATTTCACTATGTAACACAAAAAAAAAAGTGTGACATTTCTGAAACTCGAAGTAGTTGACCAATCACAACACACTGGTTAAACCGACCAATCAGAGAACAATGCGCTTTTCGAAAGGAGTGGCTTCATAGAAACTGGAACAGAGCGTTACTGACAGAGAGGAGCTGCGATAATGTGATAAATAGGATTCAAGCATGACAACCTATTCTAGTAGACCTGGAAGAAAATCTGGAATTTATAAAAAGACATAAAACGGCCTCTTTACTAGGCTAATTTTATACACAGACAAGTGTAGACTCCAGGAAATATTGCAACTCCTGCCAAGTTTCAGAGAGTAACACCTGTTAGAACAAACGGCGATGGGCCATGGTTCTGGCAGATTTGCAGCATACCTTTTGGAGAACTTGAACATTAGTGCTAGCTGTCTTCTGACACCCCCGAGCATGGCAGCCAATCGGGACTCCATCCACTGAAAGGCCTGTTGGCTCACCTGAAGAACATGACATAACACACATCCTCTATTACGTCTATCCCGTTCGATCAACAGCCTAAAACTTCAGGATAACAGATAAATGCATATTTCTTGCCATGTCCGCTGCGAAGATGGCAACGTGCAAAGCAGTCAGAGACGGCGCCCTCAAGTGAGGATCGTGCAGCATCGCAGGCAAAAGCTCAGTCAGCTCTCCGGTCCACAGCTGCACTCCTCGCTGCCACGCGGTGTCCAAACGCACCCCTGTCACGTCGTGGTACGCTCCAGCTAGAGTGGCCAGGGGCCCTGCGAGAAATTGAACCTACAATAACGCTAATACACACTGACAGGCATTTTCAAATGAAAGGCGATGACATGAAGCCACAGTTGTGCTGGTGCATAATTGCGACGGGTTTACAGATGCTTACGCAATGATGTGACTAGAACGCTGTCAAGATCAATTACAGATAATGTGACCTCAATTGCCACAGAAAATCATTTAAACATGTGCTTGGTGTTTTAGAAAAATAAAGTTAAGTGTTTCCTGTCAATCACCCAGCGTAGCTCAAAGGGAACAGTGCCTTGCAACTGTAGAAGAAATCAGAATGAACAGGGAGATGCAGAACTTGATATGGCAAACTCACTCCTGAGCTCTTGTTGGACTTGTTGAGACATGAGATGCAGGATTTGGAGCACGTGCGGTAGGCTGTGTGTGAGCGAGTGTCGGAGCGGGCCGGTCGTCCATGCTTTCCACGGCGCTCCCGCTCTCTGCAGCAACAGGGTCTCGGCTCGCTGGGACAGAGACAGCGGGCCGTCACTCAACTCCAGCAGGAACATGCTGTCGCCTGCCTAGATGATGAATAATGACACGTGATCAATGTGATATTTGATACTGCAAACTTTTTTATAGATGAAAATATCTCTGAAGCCTCTAATTTTTCGGATTTGTGGATTTAAAACTTCCCAACTAAAAGATGTATGCTTTAATTGTTTTCGAACTGTGACAAATAGCCCAGCATACATGGAAACTTCATCAATCCCTTGTTAAAAGCATGCCATGGTGCTTTACATGAAATTGAATGAGAGATTTATTATACAGTACGTATATACACTCTACCGATTCAAATATTGGGGTTGGTAACATATTTTTTTTTTTTATGTTTTTGAAGGAAGTCTCTTATCTCAAAAACAGTGAAATATTATTCAAATTTAAAATAACTATTAAATAACTGTATTTTAATGTAGTACATATATTCAAATGTAATTTATCCCAGTGATGCAAGGCTGAATTTTCAGCATCATTACTGTCACATGATCCTTCAGAAATCATTATAATATGCTGATTTTTTTATTATTACTAATGTTGAAAACAACTGTGCTGCTTAGAATTGTTGTGGAAACTATTCTTGTCATGATTCTGCCTTCTTGTCTTTGATTTTCTCTAGTCGTGAGGCAGGATCATGACAGAATCATGTTTTGTGTGCAAGCGCATGGCCTGTTTGGGCCATGTGCTTGTGTTGTCTCGTTAACTTACCCCGCCCCCTTGTTATCCTAGTCTTGTGATTATTGTCTAGTCAGTTTCACCTGTCCTGGTCATTAGTGTTCCCCTTTATAATCCCCTTGTGTTTGCTGTCCTGGGTCGGTTCATTGTTTGAAACATGCTGTGAAACCTGCTGTGAGATCTGTTTGTTGTTTTGTGAAGTTTGCAGTGAGTAATCCCTTGAGTTAACTGTTAATCCAGAGTCTGTTCGTGTTTTAGTATTGTTCCTGTCTTGACCTCAGTTTAAGTCTAGTGTTTGTTACCCAGTCTTGTTTTGCCCCCTCGTGGGCTTTGTTTTCCTTTTTTGTCCTAATAAACCCTGAGTTCATTGTACACTGTCTGCGTTTGGGTTCATCATCCTTCCACTTCATAACAGAATGAACCGACCAACAAAGAACCCAGCAGACAGTTCGTTCTCCCAGTTCCGGCCACAGCCGGATCAGTGGTGGTTGTCAGCTCCCACAGACGGAGAGAGAATCAACGGTCCTGTCCCACCCGAGGGTGAGTGGATCCTGAAGAATTGGGCCCGACTCTGGGATCATTTCTCCCAGGAGGATCCGCCGGCTTCCACCACCTTGTCACCACCTGCTAGGCTGCCAGTGATCCCGGAGGGTCACATTTTAGCCGTGGTTACGCAGGGGAACCAGGCTCACTCCACTTCGGCTCCCGACGCATCAGCTGCACCCGCAAGTCTCCGTGGCAAGCGAGAGAGACGGCTGTCGTGGGAGTCTACTTCGGAGTCCTCTTCAACTGAGACCACACTTCCTGCCGTGCTTCCCCAACCGGTCACAAACCTGGCTATGTCCTCTGCTCCACGACCCAGGAAGAAGAAGAGGAAGAAGGGAGCCTCTGGTCCTCTGTCTCTGTCTCTCCCAGAGCCCGCTCCAGCAGGCGCCGTCCCAGAGCCCGCTCCAGCAGGCGCCATCCCAGAGCCCGCTCCAGCAGGCGCCGTCCCAGAGCCCGCTCCAGCAGGCGCCGTCCCAGAGCCCGCTCCAGCAGGCGCCCTCCCAGAGCCCGCTCCAGCAGGCGCCCTCCCAGAGCCCGCTCCAGCAGGCGCCGTCCCAGAGCCCACTGCGGAGAGAGTTGCGGCCGATCTAGCCGCAAGAGAGATTCTGCAGTCGGTTTCTGCTCGTCAGGAGATGCCCATCTCTCTGGCTGCCAAGACCCTGTCTGACTATTTGTCCAGTCTGATCAAGATCCTCGAAGTGCCTGTCCTGTCCTGTCCCGAGCCCACTGTGTCTGTAAGTGCTGTCCCTGAACCTGTGTCTGTAAGCGCTGTCCCTGAACCCGCTGCTGTAAGCGCTGTCCCTGAACCTGTGTCTGTAAGCGCTGTCCCTGAACCTGTGTCTGTAAGCGCTGTCCCTGAACCTGTGTCTGTAAGCGCTGTCCCTGAACCTGCTGCTGTAAGCGCTGTCCCTGAACCTGTGTCTGTAAGCGCTGTCCCTGAACCTGTGTCTGTAAGCGCTGTCCCTGAACCTGTGTCTGTAAGCGCTGTCCCTGAACCTGTGTCTGTAAGTGCTGTCCCTGAACCTATGTCGGTAGGCGCTGTCCCTGAACCTGCAGCGGAGAACACCACTCCCAAGTCGGAGAGGATGATCGTCGGATCAGAGTCACCTTCTGTGAGCTCTGTCCAGTTTTCCCTCTGCGATCTCCTACCACACCCCCCGTCATGAGTCCAGCTTCGTGTCCATCGTTCGCTGTACCCCCAGTTGCTATCCCTGTTGTGACTTCCACTGTTCCCAAGACCTCGTGTGTTTCCCCGGTCAGTCCTGTCTGCGCTCAACCCCGGTCCCGGACTGTTTCCCCATTTGTCCCTGTCCCCACGGTCCCTGGACTTCCGTTTGTTTCCCCTGTCTCCCCTGTCATGGCTCAACCCCGGACTGTTTTTCCCTTGTCCCACACCACTCCTCCCAAGCCCGCTCGGTCCTCTCATCCTAAGTCCACTCCCTGTGGTCCCAGGACCCCTGTCCCGCCCACCCACCCTGGACAGTCGCTCAAAGACTCTGTGTTTCCTCCACCTCCTCTGCCTTGTATGTTGTTTTTGATGTTTCACCCCAATCCTGTCGTTGTGTATTTTTGTATGCCTTTGTTAGTTTTTGCTATGTACTGTTGGTTTGTGTCTTTGTCACAGTCTGTCATGTCCCGTGTTTAATGTCCCCTTGAGGAGCGTCTGAAAGCCGCTCCTTAAGGTGGGGGTTCTGTCATGATTCTGCCTTCTTGTCTTTGATTTTCTCTAGTCGTGAGGCAGGATCATGACAGAATCATGTTTTGTGTGCAAGCGCATGGCCTGTTTGGGCCATGTGCTTGTGTTGTCTCGTTAACTTACCCCGCCCCCTTGTTATCCTAGTCTTGTGATTATTGTCTAGTCAGTTTCACCTGTCCTGGTCATTAGTGTTCCCCTTTATAATCCCCTTGTGTTTGCTGTCCTGGGTCGGTTCATTGTTTGAAACATGCTGTGAAACCTGCTGTGAGATCTGTTTGTTGTTTTGTGAAGTTTGCAGTGAGTAATCCCTTGAGTTAACTGTTAATCCAGAGTCTGTTCGTGTTTTAGTATTGTTCCTGTCTTGACCTCAGTTTAAGTCTAGTGTTTGTTACCCAGTCTTGTTTTGCCCCCTCGTGGGCTTTGTTTTCCTTTTTTGTCCTAATAAACCCTGAGTTCATTGTACACTGTCTGCGTTTGGGTTCATCATCCTTCCACTTCATAACAATTCTATTACGATGAATAGGAAGTTCAAAACAACAGCATTTATTTGAAATAAAAGATTTTAATGTAACTTTTGGTCCATTTAATGTGTCCCTGCTGAATAAAATTATTAAGAAAAAACCTGATCACAAACGTTGATCACAACCTGATCACAAACATGAACAGTATTTGATTATAAAATTCTCATTACAACTTGTTCATTTCTATATTACTTTGTTTAATCACTTAAAGGGATGTTTTCAGCAAAAAGGGAAAACATCCTAACCCTTAATGACTTTCTGTTTTCTGTGGAATTAACATATTTTGAAGAACGGCTCTACTGTCCATATAATGAAAGTCAATAGTGTCCAAAACAACACTGGACCCCATTCATTAAAGGAGTTTCCACTGAAGTCCATTATATGGAGAAAAATGCTGGAATGTTTTCATCAAAAACCTCTTGATGACATCTTGGATGACATAGGGGTGAGTAAATTATCAGCAAACGTTTTTTTTCAAAAGTGAACTAAAAAAAAGATCTGATTCTGAAAAAAATAGACTGTCTGCTTAATATATGCTAACACTTTATTGTGACTAAAAGTCAGACTAAAAGTAACTGCATGTCAACTTATTCTACAAACCTAGGGTGACCATATTTTGATTACCAAAAACCATGACACAAAAACCAGAAAACACATTGGCAAATGATACTTGAAGTTTACTCAAAGATACCTTATTAATTTCAATACATTTAAAGTAGGTTATGCCTCCTCTGTATGGATAGAAAATTGTTATATTGTTATATGAAAACAGGACAGTTGGTCACCCTAACTAACCCCAACCTAACAGTCTACTAATACTCTAATGAGATCTAGTGGACAATTTACTTAAAGTGTGTAATCTTAAGTGGACGAAATCGAAATAAATTGTAACCATGCAGAAAGCCATAATGGTTTGGGGGACAAGAGAGTCAGTAACTGATGTTTAATTTTTTTGGGGGGGTGATTAACACTTTAACCTAGTTCATTTTTGTAGCAGGACAGCCAGTGAGATATTACAAACCTGTCTTCTGAATGTTAACAGAAGATGCTGAAGTCTCTGAAGTCTGTCCAAAAGTTTACTCCTTATCCGGTACCCCAGCTGCTGGAGCCGTGCCTGTAGAGATATGTTATCAAAAACAAAAACAGACAAGAAAAACAATGTTTTACAAGGTGTCTGGCAGATTTATATTATGTGAGTAACATCCTTCCCATCCTTACCTCTGAGGCCCACAGGCACTCCCTGCATCCCTTAGCTCGAAATAGCAGACTCTGATTGGCTGCTCCCACAGAAATAAGGGCAAGGGTTTCATTCTCAATGCCATGACCACCTCTCTGAGCCTCCAGGGTGAACCAGCGATGCCCCTCCAAACAGAACGCCACTCGGATATCATCAGATGTTTCTGATGGCAAGCAGAAACACAAACAAAACTGATTTAGAAAAATAACGTGATTAAAAATTGTTTGTTATTAAACCTGACAAAACCTGACAATCGTGTTGTTAATTTAGAGACCTTAACATTTTGTGTATCAAATATGATACAGTAGGCTTTATATAAATAGCATCATCACCAGCGTTGTATCCAGCAGCAGCTCGTAAGCAGCGTTTTCCCAGCGCCCCCTGCAGCCAGAGCATCTCACTGCGGTCTAGTTTAGCATGAACCTGGATCCCCACATTCCTGCCTGAAGACAGGGAACTGCAGGCCAGCTCCGCACTCCAGTTTCCTACCTGCCACTGTAAATCACACACATTAATTTTGTTCATTCGTTTTCATTTGTTCACCAAACATCATGGTGAGGAAGTTCCATTGGCTTTTACTGTTTTATAGCAAGCTATTACTTTTCGACACACTAAAAATAACTACAACCACATTTGAAAAAGTTACACTTTATGTTTTCTCTCTAAATGATTTGGTTGTACATACTGAAATCTGTCATACTGAAACGGTGCGAGTACCTCTGTGAGCAAAGAGTAGTTGGAGCGCTGACTGCTGCTGATGTTTCTGAGCGACAGTGTGAAGGTGTTGTGCTGAGTGTGTCCAGACACAGACACACGGGTGTGAGTGTGCAAAATCTCCTTGCCTGAGTTCACTCTGTGAGATCCAGACCAAATTAAAGCCTGTGAAAAAAAGGTCAATTTTACAATATAAATACTATTCATAAAATGAATTAGCCCATGATTTAATCACCCTTAAGCCATCCTTGGTGTATATAACATGTTTTCTTTCAGATGAATACAATCGGATATATATTAAAAAATGCCCTTGCTCTTCCAAGCTTTATAATGACAGTGAATGGCTGTTTCTGTTTTGAAGTCCATTAAAGGTGTATGGATCCAGGATAATATGCATCCTGATAAAGTTCCCTTGGCCTTTGGAATTAAAATATCCCCACATCATCACACACCATTCACCACACCTAGAGATTAGCATGGGGTACTTTCCATAAGATCATCTTTCAATGCAAATCAAACCAGCTATTAGGCTAACTGAAGTAAAACCATGCCAATCTCTAGGTGTGGTGGAAGGTGTGTGATGATGTGGGGATATTTTAATTCCAAAGGCCAAGGGAACTTTATCAGGATGCATATCATCCTGGATCCATGAAATAACAAAAATGTAAAAATAAAAATCTGCCTGACTCTATGGGAATTTAACATAGGGGTGCCCTGACTTATGCACCCTGTATTTTAAGGAAAAACATTTATTTATTTATGATGCATTATTCATTCACAAAGAAAATTGGTGTCCTTAAAGGTTGGACTTTTCCTCATTTTTCTAATTAAGGCATTAAGATCAATATCCAAAAGATGATTTTTTATTCCTCTTTTTAGGCAACTTTAGCATCGGTGCCAAAACTTATTCATACCACTGTATATAATATCACCCTAACTGTATATATATATATATTGAGTGACCATACTCTCTTGTCCTGGATATAGCCGTCGGGATTTCTAAAATGTCTTGTTCAAATAATCTTTCCACCAAACCACAGTCGTGTTTTATTTTTAGCCACTTTATAAATGTCATGTGGCATTTATAAAGAACATAATAACATGAGAATGCATCTTAAATTTTCAGATTTGGTGAACTATATGTTAAGCTGCTATGTGCATACTCTATCTAGTGTAATTTAATTGAGAGAGATTGTGATCTCACAGGCTGTGGAGGACAGAGGCCGAACTGAACATGGTGTTCAAGACGGTCCCTCAGGTTGGTGTGTATCTGGGTCAGAAGAGAGTGAGACGGACAGGGAGACGGAGATATGTTCCGGGCCCTCAGCTCCACGAGGAGCGTGTGCATTCCCTTTACTCCTGCCTAAACAACAGACAACAAATAGAAAGAAGATAAACAAAGGCTGTACAACAAACACGTTTTCAATCCCTTAAATGTTCCAGACCTGATATTTCATGCTTTGTGTTATCCTCTTGTCCTTCCATTTCAGCTCAGTGTTTTGAGAGTAAGCCTTCCCCTCCTGAGCTACAGCAACACATCCCTCCATCTCCACCAGGGGAAGCACCGACTGCATCTAACACAATTCATCATGAGTGCCAGCAAACTTTAAAACAGAGACATACTTTCTGCAGTTCATTTTTGAAATACACTATTTGTGAGCAAAAGAAGCTTCTTTGAAAAGTCATTAAAAAATCATTTTAAACTTTTGAACATCTCTGTAAGTCAACTGTACAGTCAACTGGAGAACTTGTATGACCCTGAAGGGGTTTATATTGTTATGATGACATAATTCCAATGATCACATTGCTGTTTAGCAAAAAAAAAAAAGGCAAAGAAACAAGAATGCAAATTTGAAGTTCTCACAAACACTTTACGCCTAATTTACAACATGTGTACGCACAAGAATTTGTTCTTAGCTCATTATAGTGTTTATGAATTCGGAACATTCTAATGAGCGACTGCATGCCTGAGGTAATTTACATAAAAAGTACCCACACCATGTCCACATAAGGGCATTCCACACACTCTTTTCTTTCGTTGCTCTCAGCAAACAAAGCACCCTTAAAGACGTGCTGAGAGCACACACAGCAAAATGCCAAGTGTAGCATCCTTAAAACAAGTTCAAACTGAATAAACACCTTTAGTACAAACCCAGATTACAGACTTCTGATTTGCCAGCTGTATATGCAAATGTACATATTTAAGCAGAAACTCACAGCTCAAGCATTCCTGCATGTTCCTTTTCTTACTCTTTTACTGTATATATTGTAATTGCAAAACAAATGCTGAAGGGCACTAGTTAATGTGATGATGTTCTGCAAAGTGAACTTAGTTCTTTAGGAACGAGAAAGAACCACCTGGTTTCTCCTGATAGCAAAACGCTACATTTGGTGTCAAAAGTGACGGGCTCCAAAGCAAGATCTGAGCATTCGCCGCCGAGATGGACTACTGGGAGTGGGTGAAAGTGAAAGAAGACATGGTGGAGGTGATTGTAAAGGGAAAACGCCTGTGTATGTGGACACATGGCTCGGTGGCAGATCCACACTGGGCATTAAGACATGTGGAATGACAGAGACTATCATACTACAAGATGATGAAGCTGGCCTCGTGCCTCCCTTTGCTCCCAAAATGGCCGACATAACAACGCATGTGCAGCTCTGCAAGGCACACGTACGTGAAGACACAGGATTTTAACAAACATGCCGGTGCCCAGGCCCGCAGTGAATGAACACACCAGAGACTCAGATTATTTTAATGTAATGGTTGGGACTCTTCATAGACAGTTTGGTCAATATAGCCAGCCTGCCCTATAGCCTGACTTCGTCATACTCATATTCTTGTCAGAATGTGAGTCTGATACCGCTCCATAGGGCTTTGATTATGAGGCGTGTCTTAACCGAATCAGGGAAAAAAAAAACTCTGCACTCAGTTGGATAGTCAGTAGACCTACAACCAATCAGAGCAACGCAGTAGGTCAACTACTATGCGTATAGTTGTCAACTACAGAACTTACTTATTTTAGACGTAAAATAACGAGTGTTGCTTCTTTTACTTGGTCCTCCATGAGTGCGACCAAAGGAGAAACCACAACGACCACAGGCTTTTCATTATTCCCCATCTTCTTAGCGACAATCGGAGCCAGCCACTTTTGCCGAATCATGTAGGAAGGACGGCAAAAATATCTTTCCGATCGACAAATGCCTTGATTGCAGTTTTCTGTTTGTCTATTAAAATTAATGCGCTGTCGATTTATTTCACAACAGACGCGACAGCGGAATCTATACATCTCAATTCTCCAGCTGCAGTCATCTTGGTCATCTTTGAGGGAAACCAGTTAGCGCTCTTTGATAACGTGATGATTACGTCCTTGCAGATCATCTGTCCATCAATTTAAATGGCAATTTGATTGGCCCGAACATTTTTTGACTGATCATAATTACTCCTCAATGGATCGAGTCTAGACCGAACTTCCCGAGCAAAAAATGTTGTGGGCGGAGTTCGGGCTGGCATCCAGGCTAAGCCTGTCCTTTTAAGGACAGAATTTCATAACAGATGCAGACGACAAGGTGAGTCCCTCTGCATTTTAGCTAACGACATTGAATGTTTATGTAAACGCGCCTATGCTGAAATGCTGCCAATAGTCCAGAATGAGCTCGCTAGAGACAGACTTATCCAGGTGTTCAGCCAAAGAGAGCTCTGTGTCCAAAAACAGTTGGCTCACCCGACCACACTAAGGAAGCGCTGGAACTGACTATTGAAAGGGAGGTATTGGGAGATGAAAATTAAGTGGATGAAATAAGTCCAATAGTGAGAGCTATGGAAATTACTGAATTGTGCCCTGGGTCACCCACGTGGATGGATAATTCTGCACTCGGCTCTCTCCACCTTAGAGCCCCGCACAAACCATCGACCTTCAGTTTGCAGGATCAGTTGACTGCAGAGAAACCCTCAAAAAAACCTGTGATCTTCAGTAGTTGACATGATGCAGTGGAACAATAGTTCCATGTGGTGGTTCTGTATAGACCAGGGGTTTTCAAATTGGGTGAATGTGAGCCTCCCCTTAGAGTAGGTGAGGACAGCCGAGCCCCCCACCCCCCCCCCCCCCCAAAAAAAATTTTTTTTTAACGATCTAAAACCTTTTTAAACAAACAAAATGCGCCATTCACGTCATTTGCGCTACAAGAGCGGCAAAGCAATAAAAAACCTCTATGGCCCAACCAATTTATGCATTCAATTTCAAAACAACAAGTTGTAAGTGAGTTTCAATTTAATCATCCATATTAGTGGGAACAATGAGAGGCCGCGCTTTTGAGCAGTAGGGATGTGACGCGGTGAGGATATTTTCTCACCGGTTAATCGATGTGTGACAATACCGATAATAGCTAATGGTGTCACCGGCGGAGGCATTTAAATCGCTAATTTAAAGGTAAACATCAATGGACATTCTTGGTGCGGTAGTGCGGAATAGAACCGTTTTGTTATTGTGCCTTGAATATGCGCTAGTTTGAAAACGAAACTAACTTTCACTTTTAAATTAGCGTCAATTCATCCTTCGCTTGGAGTTTGATTGACAGACATCAGTAGATTAACGTCAGTAGATTAACGTCAGGAGAGTTAGTAGATTAACGTCGGTGGAACTTGAATTTATCAGCCAGGCAATCTGTCACGACACATTAAAGAGCCACAAAACGGTAGGCCTTTAATTTTCTTTGACTGACCAAATTTGAAAGTTGAGACTTTGTTTCATATTAAATATTACCTGCACGGTCCTGTCTGTCGACGCGTTGAAGTGTCCTCTATTTTTCACTGCTTGAGAACATGGGTTGATGAATCCGAAATCGCCCCCTAAACCCCTACGTTAGTCCACTAATAGCCTACTGTTCACTTAAAGGAGTGAATGAAAAGGAGTAAATAAAAACGAGTGAGCGAATTCGGACAGCTGTTGCTGACAGAGACGCGATCTGACACTCGTCCCATTTTCTCACATTTTTTTGGATAAAAGCGTCTTCGAATCTAGCCTATAAATACTAATAATATTAATGACAATTATTATTGGCATTTATAAATGAGTTCACTTAAGACAGTAATAGGCATGTGTATCATAAAATAATTTATTAATGTTTTAATAAAGTTTTATTTTTTTATAGCTTAAACTGTTTATGAAATGTTTTTGTTTTAGGCTTTCTTCATAGGCCAATGTAAAGTTAAAAATCTAAGCCTTGTATATAAAGAAAAAAAAAAGTTTGTGAATATCGTTTCACCAGTCTAAAAACGAATAAAGAAAGCATGTTTTTCGTAATTTAATTACGAGTTAAAAAAGGGAAAAGAAATGGACGCAAAAGTACACCGTCAGACAGTGTCAATCAATGTATTGGAGATTGAGAAAACGGCCAACCGTCACCATAGATGTAAAGAAAACAAAGTTGCTTGTCAGATTTTCCTAACAAACAAACTTTTTTTTAATAAGCCCCAAAAAACGCAACCCGAAACCCGTGCTGTTTTAACGCGAAAAAAAAAAAAAGTTGCGTATTATAAACTGCTTCGCGCCTCCCCTGTCGCTCTTTGGCGCCCCCCAGGGGAGGCGCGCCTCACCTATTGAAAACCGCTGGTATAGACTATAAGCACCTTAACAAAGTTATATGAAAGGATTTGTATCCCCTGCCTAGACTAGAGTCCCGCTACTGGCATATGCCATTGTCTCCTACCAAAGTATACTACCAAATCTACATTCTGCAGAAATAGGGGCCTCTATCAGTTCAAAGTCCTTCCATTCGGGCTCTGCAACGCTCCATCAAAATTTGAATGGCTCATGGACAAAGTGTTAGAAAGAGTCTCACACAGTGAATATCTTATATTTGGATGATCTCTTAGTCCATGCTGAGTCATTTGATGAAGCACTCGCATCCCTTAGTGAGGTGCTAGGAAGAATGGCAGGAAACGGCATCCAGATAAGTGCCACTTCATGAGGAGGGAAACAGGTTGGAGAGGGAGGGCACAGGCACCCTGGAGGACAAAATTCACACCATTAGAGAATGAGACAAGACCTGAGACAATTGAGACAAATCTGGGACTAGCCTACTACTCTAAGAGGTTTGTAAGGGGGTTCTCGTGCATAGGAACCCCCTTACAGGGTGCCACTTTTTCACCTCTAACAGAAAGACAATGTCTTTGTCTGGACTGAAGAGTGCCAAAGACATTCCATATTCTTCGTCAGGCATTGAGTGCAGCTACAGTCCTTGTTCCACCTGAAACCAAACTGCCTTCCGTTTTAAACATGGGTGCAAGCAACGTTGGAGTGGTGGCGGTGTTATCGCAGGAAAGGCCAGGCGGAGAGAAGGTGGTGGCGTAATTTAGTCTTTAATAAGAGTGAAAGGTGCTATTGTGTCACCAGACGTGAGCTCCTTGCGGTAGAAATGGCAGTGAGGCACTTCAAATACTACCTGTGTGGCACAACATTCACAATAAAACAGACCATGTTGCACTCCAATAGTTTATGTTCTTAAAGGAGCCTGAGGTTCAGGGGGCCTAATGACTGGAAAAACTCCAGTCATATAACCTTCCATTAGTTCATAGAGCTGTCACACCATACTACGGGTGTGTGATGGAAACCTCCATACAGAGAGCATGGAAGGAGACAGCAAACATGGAGGACAGAAGTAGTGCCCGTTTTGATGGAAGCATTGTTAATGGCTTGTATATGAAAGTAAGGAATCCACCTTCGCCACCTTCGCCAAGGATTCTACTGGAGCCAGCACAGAAGGGACATGGATGTGCCACAGATGCGATGCCTATGCAACAATGGCCTTGTTGAAAGATTGAAGGACATTGGTCCAGAAGCTAGCCATCCTTACCACTGACCATCAGCGAAACTGGGACACACCAACTGGACCAGAGTATGCAAGGCACCTGCATGATTTGATGGATAAATTCGATAAGGCTGGTATGAGACAGAAGAAAAACTATGATGTTAGGAGCAAGGGGAGGAACTTTCAGGATAGCCCCATACAGAGGTAACCTGACCACCTCTTTTCAAAAGAAGAAGCCCAACCCCATTGCCTCGCAAAACATCAAGGACATTGTCCCCATACCACACACCCTTGTTCCCGAGTCCCCTTCCCTAAACACCCCACACTCAGCCACTTCCCTTGTACTTTCCCCTGTGTCTCATCAGATTAAATACAATTACTGAATTTAAAGGTGCTCTAAGCGATGTCGGATGACGTGACTTCTTGTTGACGTTTAAAGTATTTTCAAACAAAATGGAGGCTAGATAGACCCTCCCTCCTCCTCATCTGCTCTGAACCCCCAAACCCCACCCCCAGGGCCTTCTTGTCAGTTATTGGCTGGAACAGTTAGTTATGTTTCGTGGAGCGGGTTGCCGCAGACCCGCAGTTTGTTTTTGTTGCCATTTGTGGAGCCTGGGTTGTCTGCATAGACCGATTTTTTTTTTACAGTGTCTTTAGGGGACAGGCAGCTAGCAGATAGTGAGGAGATGTTTGCTGTATGTGACAAAAAATGTTTGGGCCTAAAAAACATGACATCGCTTAGAGCAGTGTTGCCCAACCCTGTTCCTGGTGGCACACCAACACTGCGTGTATTCTTTGTCTCCCTAATCAAACACACCTGATTCAACTCATCAGCTCATTAACCCATGTGATTATGAGCTGATGAGTTGAATGAGGTGTGTTTCATAAGGGAGACAAAGAATACACGCAGTGTTGGTGTGCCGCCAGGAACAGGGTTGGGAAAAACTGGCTTAGAGCACCTTTAATTAAAAAGCCTAATATTAATAAAATTATAAAATAAGATATCAATAGTAAAATAAAATACATTAATGAAATAAATGAATTAAATATTATAATTAAAAATTATTTTGGTTACGTTTTCGGTTTTTGACCAAGTGCATCCAGCATACGGTTCCTTCGTTAATGAATAACTACACAAGAACTAATGAGTAACACAATATTTACAATCTAGTAACTATTATTAACTAAAAAGAAACTCTGATTAACGAACTAGTAAGTAATAGCTCACAGATGAAAGTGTTACTAGATACTTTTGCGGGAATTACTAATTATTTGGATTCGTATTATAAAGTGAAGATCATTGGAACTAACTAGTAATGACTCAAGTGTTACTAAATACATTTTCTAAAAGTTACTAAAGTTCTCCAAAAAATCTCAAACATTTGCACAAATCATGACTAGATCATGTAGTAACACTTGAGTCATTACTAGTTAGTTCCAACGATCTTCACTTTATAATACGGATCCAAATAATTAGTAATTCCTACAGAAGTATCTAGTAACACTTTCATCTGTGAGCTATTACTTACTAATTCGTTAATAAGAGTTTCTTTTAGTTAATAGTAGTTACTAGATTATTAATACACTTTTTCAGTCGTTCTCTGGGAAGTATTAAAAAAATAGTAGTTATTGATTACTTAATAGTGAACTACCACTTTCGTCTGTGCGCTATTGCTTACTAGTTCGTTAATCAGAGTTTCTTGTTAGTTAATAATAGTTACTAGATTGTTAATATTGTGTTACTCATTAGTTCTTGTGTAGTTATTCATTAACGAAGGAACCGTATTCTAAAGTGTTACCGAATATTCATTTTGGTGCATCCCTACAGTAAAAGATTTTGACTCACAAATCTGTGGTGGGTATGCATGGTTAGTGAATGAGACCTAGTGTTTGTAAAATGAAAGTTTAGTGAAACTGCAGAAGTTGAATGCTGTGTTGTACCTGGCCTGGTGAGAGAAAGACACAGGCTTGCCCTCTGCAGGAGTCATCGTGCCAGTGCTCACTCACTGTTACAGAAATATTTATAGGCTTTCCTTGGTCCCTTGAAAGTGCCTATAGAAACACAACCCACATTCATATTACAAAAATTTTACTTACTATATCTTAAAAATTATGAGCAATTAAGAGTTTGTTTGGAGAGTGTTTACCTGGAGAGTATTTGAAAATGTAAAGTGAATCTGGATGGTACTTAAAAATATAAACAGCATGGAAAAAATCTGGGACTATTAATTAAAAGGAGGGGAAGTATTTGCGATTGCAGAGTGTAATTGAAAGAAAGAGCAGTATCTGAGAGTATAGGGAATAATAAAGGGGCTTTTAAAGTGAAGAGATTATTTGAGATTAAAGAGCTGGGTTCCTCAAATCCACTGTCTTTCACATTTTAACACCAACCCTAATCAAAGACACACGAGTAAGCTGATCAAGGCCTTAGAGAAACTCAAAAATTGCAGGTAGGTGAGTTTGATCAGGAGCTGTGTCTGAAAATCACCCCCTACTCCCTCATTCAGTATTCCCCTTAGTCCACTAATATAGTTCAATTGAGGGAGTGAATGATAACAAGTGAGATTATTTGGACACTGAGTGCGACGAAGGGCTGCCGCTTTTGCATAGATTGTGCTTCTTGTTTAATAATTATTTGAAATTTAGCAAACTGACAGCTCCAGTAGTAAGATGAAAAGAAAAGATCTTGAACTCTGTCATAGAAACTTTAAACAATTTAATAATCAAGTAAAAAGAAATGTATAGCTGTATAACATTACGCTGTAGCCACATTGCACCAGCGGTTTGGAAAATGGATGGATGGATGATTCAGCCGCGGGCGCTATCTTCTGTTCAGATGCAGGAATTCATTCGGCGCACAACTCACAAAGTACATTATGGGTATTCTAATAGCCACTGCGCATACATCGATTGTACACTTTTGCTGTGCATTGTGGGATTGATAATGCCACTCAATAATGTCCATTATTGTTTCGGACACCACTACAAATGGCTGTCCCTTCAAATAGTGCCCTATTTAGGGTTATATTGGGTGATTTGGACCCAGACAGAGTTTGAGCTAAAGGGCTGGATTTGAGGAACTCTGTTATAGATAAGTTTTGAGAAAGGCAGCTGTGTACCTGATTGTTTCTGTCACACCTGGGTCCATGTGATAGGGCATGTATGTGAAACTGAGTCAGTGTTGAGATAAAGGGTTGTTTCTGCTCAAATGAATCCATTTGTCTGCTCACCAAATTCCAAGAGCCTTGAATTCTGACCTGAACACACGCAAGATACTTATATATGGAAGATGTAATAATAAAAAAAATCACAAACCTCAGGCCTCACCTGATCATGGCTTCCAAAGAGAGTACAGTCAACACTCAGATCACCAAGTTTTCTCTGAGTGTCATTCTCTACCCTAAGATCCAACCCCCAACCCTGAGCCTTTCCTACAATTAGAGATACACATCAGCATGTTCATGATAATAACTGATGCCACATGTGACCAAATAAGCAGCTTTCCTCTAAATAGCAACGTGGTAGCCACCTGTCAGTTCTGGAAAACTTTGCTGTTGTGCTTCACCACCTGAGGAGTCGGACTGTGTTAAATCCTGATTCTCCCACTGCGCTCGGTGCGTGAGAGTATGTGACCCTCTCTTTCCACCATAGTGTGTCCTCACTGTCAGATTCCTGGGCAATGAGTGTAGCTGGTATAGAAATAACACATTAATCAAAATGTAATGTAACACAACATAATGTAACATATTTAATGTGGTGTTAAGGCATGGTCACATTCGCGTAACTTAGACGAAATCATCCATTATCAATAGCGTTGCATTAAGTATCACTTACTCAGGGGTTACTTACAACCTTTGCAGCTCTTTTTTGGTAAACGTGCCATTTGCATGTTCAAAGTTTAACAAAATTTAATTTAATTTAAAAGCCATGTAAAAATTCCACTATCAAAATAACTGCATTTCGCCGTGTGGTCAAATTTCTGCAACATTTTCATGTTCAAAAAAGGTCAGTTGTTCGTCACAAATAGTGCAATGATGTATGAAGCACCGCTCACGCACACAGAAGTCATTTTCAAACCAAGCAGTATCTGTTGGCCAACGCAGAAAATTTGAGTTACCAACTTATCCATTGGGAAACCTTTCAACTTCACACAAAGATCATGTGGAATCCTATTGAAATGACTGGATTTCGCTGAGAAGCGGTAAATGTGACCGCACCTTTACAGAAGACGCTATATTACGGCTGACTCATAATTACACTACCTGAGGTACAGAGTGATTGAACACCAGCACTTGCTTAAAACCAGAGTTTGTACTCAAGATCTCAGCTTCAAAAGTCAATCCGCTCATGCCAACCAGAAGTTCTGCAGTGCCCTTCACGGAGGAACGCGAGTGGTTCAACTGTGAGGGAAAAACACGCAAGGCATTTTTTTTTTAAATTAAAAAAGATAAAAAAATGCATAATAATATCCAGCTAACAAAAATATGTTCTAAAAGCATTTTGCTAATGTTCAAATTAAGTTACGAAACCCTTATTTCTTAATGTTTTCTGAAGTTCTTATACATCAATCTTTTAGATGTGTTTTTTTTTATTATTCATACTGTAGTAGGCTACTGTGAATGTTAAAAGGAACATGAACTCCATTTTATAATTTTTCAAACATTGCTTTTGAATGTTCTCTGAACATTCTGACACATTTTTTTTAAAGGGGTGATGAACAGAGAAATCAAATTTTACAATAGTAGTGTTGTTTAATGGAAGTAACTTGATTGTCATACCTGTGATTTGGAGTGAAACTCAAATGGCAGGTATGGATGTAAAGCTGATATGTTGTGGGAAATGTTCACCATTAGCCCAATGCTACAAAAAGACATCAAAACTGATTCCTTTGCACAGTCTAAACATACATTACATTTTATCTCGTTATGTATAGTGATATTTTATAACAATACCTGTGGGTATTGTGGTGACCTTGAAGATCAAATGAGAAAGCTGAACTCTGAGAGTTAGAAAAACTGGCTCTGAATCCAACCTACACAAATATCAGGATGAGGTCTGATGTACAAACACAATCAAATGTTCATAGTGACCACTGAATCATTCTTCAAAAGAAGGAAACAGCCTTGAATGTTCTCACACATGTACCTTCAATGAGTCTTCCTCATCCTGCCCAGAGCTGACGCCCAGCAGGTGGCCCGTGTCCATCCCCTCTGTGCATTTCACCTGTAAAAACAAGCCTCTGTGCCTTCAGTTTGCATTACTTGTAGGAGAGGAGTGTGGAATCAGAGGCATTTCCCTTCAACAACATGAGAAATGACCCAGAATGTACAAGGAGTTTCTGGGGCATCCATTTGTAGACGAATACACACTAAACTGATGCTTGCTTTTTCTTCAACAAGTAATTATTACTCTGTGTTTGATTAAGGGAGGAATTAACAATGGTTTCAAAACAAACACATATCCCACATGGATGTTAGAATGGTTTGAAGACCAGCATATTCACTCATTCTAGACCATGGACCCCACAAATATAATGATCCCCTTGTATTTCCTACAATATAATGGCAGCTAAATATAACCCATACAGTGTGAGAAAAATATTAAAGGGATTGTTCTCAGTTCTTTCAAACCTGTATGACTTTCATTCTTCTGTGTAAAAGAAGATAGTTTGACAAAAATTGTTTTTTGGTCCATTCAACGACAGACAATGGTCACCAAAAGCATTGGTTGCCAACATTCTTCAAAATAACTTCTTTTATGATCTTCAGAAGAAAGAAAGTGTTTGTCTGGGAGTATAAGATAAAGGCTGGTTGCACTAATTCAGCCCAATCTCATCCCAAGAAAGACCATATGTCAACATCCAACGTTTTAGGGTACCCTTTAACATCAGTTGGATGACGCTCTCTAATCCTAACCCTACCCCGGACCTAAACCTACCGCTAAAGGTAAAGCGTCAGTTGGATGACGCCCTAGGACCATCATCTAACTGACGTTAAAGGGTACCCTAAAACGTTGGATGTTGACGTATGGTCAAAAGCGTCAGTTAGATGACGTCTTGGGATGAGAATGTGTTGACTAATTGCATTGCAATTGCAGTAAGCTGTCCTTGCTTTATTCTCTCCCAAAGGATGAGATTCTAGCATTTGCACAGAGAGCATTCAGTACTCAAAGAAAATGGGAGAAACTCATGGCGATACATTCATGGTAGGCTCTGTTATTGCTTGATTCTCTCGAGGGATAAGAATCTAGTGTAGGGATGAATGTTTTTTTTCATTGTGATGCAACTCTCAAGACTCCCTCTGTTTCATTACCTCCCCCCCAAATGGTTGGGTCTTGAAGTAGGGATTTGCTCCCCTTTGGTACGGTGCTGCTATAGGTCTCTCCAGATGATCAGTTTTACAAAATAACTAATAGATTTGGATCACATATGGCTCCCTCCTTGTCATTGTAGCATTCTTTAGTTTAACCGTTAACTATTGTCCTGAAAAAGTGTCTTTACTCATGACAGAGTATGAACTGAGATCTGGAACAGAGTATGAACTGAGAACTCCCGCTGAGATCTGGGGTTTATAATTAGGGCATAGATCCCCTGTGGCCTCCTTGGGGTTGGTATAGAAGAACAATGAAAAAAACGAAAGAGTGCACATACTGTACTTAATTTGTTCTTGCTTGTCAGTTAGTGTGAATGAGATTTGAGACTCTGGGAGACTTTTCTCAATTACTGAATGACAGCGATTCTCTAACCTGAGAGAGTCCGGTCGTTTGGGTTTTGTGGTGTGAACTCTGCTCCAGTGTGGCTCTCAGGCCGCTGGCCCCTGCATGGAGCTCCATTTGGGCACCGACTCTGCTTTCATTCCAGTTCACATTCACACTTGCACTACTGTTAATTGGAAGCCCTGCTCCAATTGACAGAGACAGAAGCATATTAAACTCTACAGCACAGCCATAACTAGAGTCAGCTAATGCTGCTGAGTATACTGTACCTGCCGAACGTAGCCAAGGGAAAGTGTGAGAGAGATGGGTATGAAGACTTCTGCACCCATGCTGTGTCATATTGCTGCTGATGTTCACACACAGTGACTCTTCCATAGCAACAACACAGAGTAAGGCACTAAGTTCTTCTCCAGAGTTCCTCTCATGCTGACGAGTCACTTCCAGTCCATATACAGAATCATCCACTACAACCGTCAGCTCTCCTGCACCACAAACACACAACAACATGAGAGTATCAAGCACTAACATGTACCCAAGTAGAAGGTGACGTTCCTGCGACCATATGTAAGGTTTCCTAAAAGTTCTTTAAAGGTGACGAACATTCCGAACCTCTGCAGAACATTAGGAACGTTCCTGAAACGTCCTCTTTTGGTAATGAAAGTGCTGCAGTTCAACATTCCTTAAATTACTTTAGGGGGACGTTCCGTAATGGTAATCTTATGGTCACATAACAACGTTACAAAGAGGACGTAATCAACACGTTCTCATATGGGTCTAAGTTGGTCCTATTATATCATTCCTTATAGGACTTTAGGGGGACGTTCCGTAATGGTAATCTTATGGTCACATTACAACGTTACAAAGAGGATGTAATGAAAACGTTCTCATATGGGTCTAAGTTGGTTATACAATGACATTCTTTATGTGACTTTAGGGGAACATTCTGTATTGGTTATTTTATGGTCATATACCAACATTAAAAAGGGGAAATAATAAGGACGTTCCCATATGGACCTTCATGGAACATTCAGGATGTTCTGGGAACATTGTGGGAACATTACCAAGCGACGACACCAGTGGGACATTCTCATAATGTTTTGGAAACATTGGATTTCTCAATTAATTATTGTCCTCTAAACGTTCCCAGGACGTCCTGAATGTTCCCTGAAGGTCCTCCAAATAACAACCCCAAACCCTTTAAAGAACTCCACATCATGACTGTCTGGGAACGTTGTGGGAACATTGCCAAGCGACGTTCCTGAAACCAGCGGGACGTTCTCAGAATGTTTTGGAAACGAATGTTCCCTGAAGGTCCTCCAAATAGCGTCCCCAAACCCTTTAAAGAACTCCACATCGTGACTGTCTGGGAACGTTGTGGGAACATTGCCAAGCGACGTTCCTGAAACCAGTGGGACGTTCTCAGAATGTTTTGGAAACATTGGATTTCTGAATAAAATATTGTCCTCTAAACGTTCTCAGAATGTCCTGAATGTTCCCTGAAGGTCCTCCAAATAACGCCCCCAAACCCTTTAAAGAACTCCACATCGTGACTGTCTGGGAACGTTGTGGGAACGTTGCCAGGCAACGTCCTTGACACCAGCGGGGACGTTCCCAGAACGTTCTGGGAACATTAATTTTCTAGCTGGGTACATATTAGACAAACACATACAATAATAACATTTTCAAACTATCTTTCAGTAACCACATAAGTTACCGATCGAGTGCTTTCCAATTAGACCAGGATGGACATTATTTATTATAGATTTACAAATGAGAAATATTGAATTGAATTGGTGAGAAAAAAAAACTGACAAAGTTTTGGTTACTATGTATGGTGTAGTAAAGACAATTCAGTTGTGGCAGATTACTCTTTGAAAATGACTGTCCATAAGTCATACAGGTAAGTTAACCTCCTTTAAAGTCATTGCACTTTCTGAAACTGAACTTTTTTCACTGAAATGTTAATTTGCACACTATTGATAAATCTGTTTGCCAGTATATTCAACATTTTGTTGCCAAAAAATATATATATTTACAAATACAGGGAGTACCCAAGGCTGTTGGGGTGAAAGCAATGTACATATACAATATTGTGTATATGGATATATACATTGGCACATTTATCTTGAACTTACCTTCAATTAGACCCTTTGACTGAGTTAGTACTCCAACCAAACTAACTGAATTAGGTAAAGCAGTGAGATCTCGCATTGAATTGACAAGGTCCCCGGAAAGAGACATTCGCAACTGATCATGTGGTAGAATTCCACTCAAATGAGCTCTAAACATCTCCTCTTCCTTTTTTACTGTACAATGCAAGACAAAACTAGAGAGAAAGAAAAAATATAGAGGCTGAAAACAAATGATGGGTAATAAACAATCATGAATACAGTACGTTTTGTCCCACAGTAGGACAGAACTGCTGTTATCAAATTACCTTTCTGAAGAAGAAATAGCAGCTAAATGAATGCGGCCATCAGAAGGGAGATCTGGGAATAAGGTCTGATGAAAGCCAGCATTGATGCCCACATCGCTACTGCCATTTGTCATCTTGTTTTCTTGAGTAAAGTGAAGTGTTGCATTTTTTCCATCTGCCTTCAGGCTGATAGAACTGCCAATGTTTCCAAAAGGTGATACTATTATTTCTGCATGTGCCTGGAATGTAATGAAAAATAGGCAAAGCACTCAATATCAATGCATGGATTCATCGACAGAACTACCCTCAGAAATATGCAATAAATTACTTGCAAAAGAGCACTTTTGAAGGTATTTACATGATAATTTTTGTCGTCAATGGCTATTTTCCCTTCAGAGTGATACTCAAACTCGCTGGTGTTCTTGGGACCACTGAGCACTTCAATATCTAGGCTGACAGAGTTCGGGAAATCCAGCTGAAAAACACTGTTAACTTAATTCCACCGAAAAATTGTAAAGATGCAATACAACATTGCTGTGAAAATTCTTTGCCTTCCATCTGATTTCGACTCTACGGGCATTTTCACACCTGTAGATAATTTGCTTTGTTCTGAAACAGGGATCAAAATTATTACAATTGCTGCAATTTCTTCTCGGTTTGGTTTGCTTTCACAAGGCAACATTTCTAAACAGACCAAACATGTTGAATACAAATTCCGTGCAATTAAACGCTCCTCTCATTAGTCATATAGTCCAGTTTTACTGTGTGTTCCAGGATTCCACTCATCCTTCAGAATGAATGCACAGCTGCTCTTTGGGCTCACTGTGGCTTTCTTTGTTGTTGTTTAATATTGCTTTATTATTTTGAGCAAGAATCAAAGCTTTGTTGGTATTTGTATGCGTGTAGGTCAGTTTGTTCTGAAATATGTTCATCTGTCCCAACATGTATTGGAGCATGAATAAATTATACAGCTGGATTATTATTTTTGATTCTCATTCTGGATTCTAGATTTGAATATTTTCTTGATTGTCACCATTGTTGAGGTTTGTTTAATTAATGTTGATATCCAAGTGTGTCTCAACGTTTATACAAGAGGCTGTGGTGTTTTTAGAAGACTGCAGACTTATCTTGTCAGCATTACAAGTGATATTTCTGTCAAAACAACTTCACTTATTACTAATTCCCTTTCATCCTGGGAACATCAACGAATTGGGATCACGCTAAGGAGCCTAATTGCCTTCGAGAGAATTGAAAACGAGCCAATAAAAATTGGCATGCAATCTTTGCATTCCGCGAGCCGCCTACTAGCGTGGATATAAAAAGCTGAAGTGAACATTGCATTAACGCTTTTCACTGAGGAGCCGAACAGAGTCCAGACCTCCGCGAAGGTACAGCAACATGGCGAAGGGACGACACATCTCCATTCCCTGTACTCAGGAAACTGGACATTTTTTAATGTTTCCATAACCAAAACAGATTGCTTGGAAAACGTTCTTATAACAAAAAGTGGTTAGCTGGGAATTACTTTTTTACAGAGCGACACTGGGTCGCTAGGTCTTATTGTTGAGTTTTTGCACGTGCTAGCCTGTTCCATTTACATGTTCTCCGAATGCTAATGAGGAGCCTCGCCTAGCCTCTTAATGAAATGACTTGCAAGGACCCGTCCTGCCAAGGAAGTATCCTTGACATTATCCTTGAGAAACACGTTTTGTGTATATATAAATCTCCTAAATTTCTGACCCATCATCAGCTTCATCGTCTAATTTTCTGTCGCTCTACATATGCCATCTGGTATCATTAAACCGATTGGCTATGAACTACGTAAAAGCGCATTTGATAGACATTCGTAGCACACAATAATATGGCTCTGGGCATTCGTAAACCACGCCTCAAATACGAGAAAATGAACACGTGGTTTCCAGACCACGTCTCATTCTCAGTGATACATGGTCTGGCATTAGCCAGGCTAGAGATTAGAGGCAAGTCAAAGTAAAAAGAATGTGTTATTATTTACCTGAAACAGCTGGGACAGGTTAGCTTTCATTGTAATACCTTGCTGAAATGTTTTTAGGTCATGAAGTTGTACTTGACCAAAGGCTGCAAATACTTCCTCTTTTCCAGCCATCAACGTGCCCTGAATGTTATGCACATTCTTCACAGAGAGGTGAAGTTAGCACATTCCCAGGAACAAAGACAAAATGTAATTTAAAATAAAACAAATTATGATCCTATATAACTTAAAATGGTACTAAAGAGAAAATGAGACTAGCTCATTATTTAGGTGTAAGACGGCACTGTTCAGATATACATAAATCATCTCTGCTTGCTTACCTGTTTGTTTTGGACTGTGACGCAGATCTTTGAGTCTTGAGGAATTCTCTCAGTGCTGAAAGACTGGACTATTGAGGAGCACACCTAACAAATAAACCATATTAAACAACAGTTATTTTCATTTCATTCATATTTTCATTGAAATCTGATTGTATATATAAGTAAGTCATTGAATCATTAACTCAACACATTTGTACAAACCACTGAGTCTTTCAGGAACACAACTACTGTTTTTGCTTTGGGGAAGCGCAACCATTTATTCTTTTTTTTTTGGAAATATTTTTGTTGCTGTGTTCTAGCTATATTGTGTCTAGTTCTATATTGTGTCTAGTTACTAGCCTATTATTGAACTGTTGTATAAAAAATATGTGGCCCTAGTATTTAAATTAATTGTGAACGAACAAAGCTAGCAATTAACATAACGTACCTGACTTACTGCAAGGACTTCAGTTTAATTCTGGGGTAAATTACTTGGGTGACTCTACCAAAATAGGCTATGTACTGTAATACAGGCTATGAAAAAAAAATTAAGAAACAGCGAGTAGAAAAAGTTTAGACTCACATATGGCTGATGTGGTTGAAATCCTAGAGTCAGGATGTGAATGGCCTTTTTGTTTCCATGTACAAGAACCTTTGACTCCAAAGTGTAAACCTTCTGATGTAGATCACTTGTGAATGTCTCCTGGAGGATGAGACTCTGAGGGAGAAATTTGAATGGTTGTCTGCTGGAAGAAGCAAAAACATAACTAAACACGCTTAAATATAGTGTATTACCAACGCAGCACTGTGGTTAAAATCAGCACATTGTTTCTACTGCAGTCGCCACTATCATCACTATTCTTAAAGGGCACCTTTTATGGAAAATTCAACTATGGAACATCTATGGACAACAACTATATGGAAAGTTGAGGAAACCTTGTTTGTATAGTGTTTAACCACACGTTTATAAATATATATATTTTTAAAAGATATTGTATTAAAAACTGCATATATGTTCTTGTTCTGTAAGTTAGCCATCTTTTCACATTTGCCACAGAAGCACCTGTATGACCTGTATGATGCAACAGGTCCCTTGCATAAATACATTTCGCTTGTACGTAGCAAACTTTATCACAGAATGTGTATGTAGTTCCAAAATATTGCGACATTGTTAGTGTTTGTGTGTGTCAGTGTGTGTGTGTTGCACATCCATCATTTTAAAGGGGACGTAATTACAACGCTATAAGTACATAAATCTATCAAATAACCATACCGAGACGTAGTGGTCCATTCTCATTTGTGTTTATTCTTCCGTCCGTAATCTTGGTCTGATCAGAGACTATATATTACGATTCAAACATGTACGCTGAATAAATGACATTCAAAACAGCGCTCTCTCACTCTATCAGCCCGTCTGCTTAGAGTGACTGGCATAGGTATCAAGTTACGCCCTCATCCAACGGCAGGGCGGGGATATGCAGCTCATTTGCATTTAAGGTGGTATACACCAAAACAGCTCATTTTTAAACAGGCCCCAAAAATGACTTTTTCAAATGGTTATAAGAAATTAACTATAGGGTATTTTGAGCTGAAACTTCACAAATACATGCTGGGGACACCAGAGACCAATATTACATCTTGTAAAAAGGGGCATAATTGGATTGTTTTCATAGTCAGGACAGACCTGAAATTTAGCTTCCATCTTTTCTGATAAACCCTCCTGTCCTTCCGTATCTCCTCTATGGCACCCTCCATCTGTAGCTCTGCATAAGGGTTTTTGAGATACGACAGGGTCATTGTCGTCATCAGAAGCCTCTTCTTTAGCTTCTGCTCAGAGAGAAAACAAAGTCCAGATGGCTAACTTTGATGCAAATTCAGGTTTGGATCACTACACATTTTGGACACACATTAAAACCACAAAAGCATGAACACATGTTTTCTTGTACCTTATCCAGAGTACTGAGAACTGCGGAAATATTGAGGTCCTGCTTGCCATAGCCTGCACTTATCTCCAGAGTCTTCACTTGCTTACCATTGCCAACAGAGATTTCCCCATGCAAGGCTGGTGTCCAGGCTGTGCTGATGGAGTATGAAGCATTAACTCCACGCTTACCCAGCATGCTCCACCCACCAACCTGGAACGATACCAGTACACTTAAGATCATGCACTTATCCTGAAACTGCTCCAGGGGGACCATCTAAACATTTCTAAGGTTTAGGAATGGGGTAGCTTGACAGAAATACAGAAAAACTGAAGGTACACTCACCTTGATATAACTGACCGTCGGTGTGAAAAGGTGTAGCTGGCCTTGCCGTTCTTTACCTCTATCCTTGAAGAAACCCTCAAGTGTAACACTTCGGATGTTCACTAGTTTCCGCATGGTGACCTCAGAGCTAAACTGAGTGATGCCACGCTGGGGCTGAGTTAGTTTTTGAGCAATGTAGACATAGACCCAGGGTGTATCCATGTTGAATGAACCTGTGGACATTAGAAATTATATATTAGTTTATATACAGTTAATTGTTTTTGTCATTCCATCTTCTTCGATAAAAAACGAAACGTGGGAAAAGAAATGTGTTCGAATTTTCAAGTATATTAATAATAATTTAGTAATTTTAAATACTTTTGAGTCATACTCCGGCCCCTAATAGTGGTCTCAATGGTCTAAATAAAGTAAAACTAAAACACATAAAAACAAAATTCAGACACTGGAGGAGGCTGTGATTGGAGATGTGATTTTTTGGGTTTCAGAGATGGAATGTAGATGTAAAAGCGTTTGAAATATGGACAGTAAAAAAAAGAAAAAAAAGATATTGCTTCTGCTTGGAAAAATTAAGCCAAAGAGTCCCAGTAACAGTTGTTGCAGAGTTTGTCTTAGTCAGAGTCGCAGTAGTGATCCTGTTGTGAGCCATGACATCAAGGTCACACCCACAGACTCAATTGCAAGGACAGCTGTCAGTCACGATGTTACACCCCGTTTTTATAACTTTTTCTTTTAATTTGAACACTTTCGTTATAAGAAATACATAAAATGACAGAGCTAAAATTGAGAGCTAAGAGACCAAATCTCATAAGACAAATTCCAGTGCCTCACATCCCAATCTACTTACTAAAAACTTACATTTTCAAAAGTGAACATATCTGCTTCAAAATTTGCATTTTTGCTATGAGTGCTTGTAATTTACATTGTAAGCCTTTCTCAAAGGAAAATTCCACCAGCGAGTTAGTCTTCCGGGATTCTGACATCATATACCTGGTATGACATCACTTTGTAAGCCAAAACGCAGAAAGCAAGTTAGCATTTTAGCAATTCCGGTTCCATCTTCCTGAAGTCAATGGGGTTTTGCTTAAATGGCTGAAATATAAGGTCTGTGTGAACACAAGCTCAAGAAACTTACTTTCACGTTTTATTCTACGACATAAAATACTTAAGTATTACCCAACTCGTGATTTTTAAAGCTGTTACTTGTCTTGAAAAATGCGCTTGCTAACAAGTGGCTACCCAGATAGCAAACTGACATTGAATCAACGTGGAAATATGACATCGAAACAACGTTGATCTGACATTGTTTTGCTCATCGAATTAACGTTGAACCAACGTCAGATGCGTCATTCTTTCAAAACTAACGGAAAATCAACTTGAAATCAACGCGTTGTTTCAACGTTATGAAAGCAAACCAATTTTCGATTTCATTTAGCTTTGAAGAATGCCGCGTCTGACGTTGGTTCAACGTTAATTCGATGAGCAAATCAACGTTGTTTCAATGTCATGAGAGACGTCGTTTCCACGTTGATTCAATGTCAGTTTGCTGTCTGGGTAAATAGGACTACAGAGGCAGTCGAGGAGATTAAGGTAAACTCAGTCCACTTTTACAGCATCGTCATGCTTATAATTGTACTCTTATACACAAATCTGACTCAAATGTTCTGGTAAAATGTTTTAGATAAAAACTGGAAGAGTTGTGTGAAGCTTATGATGGTTGTATTTGTGGGACCGGGGTGTAGTTGGTTTATAGCCTACCTTTAGGTTTTTACTTCTGCCGACTGCATTTAGGCATCGACATTTAAAAAAAGTTGTGTTCATCTGCGATAATTATCTTGATGTACAAAACTTGGAACTATCATAAACTTTTGTTGATCACACAGCTTTTTTTTTTTTTGCGATTTTCCAAAATCCTATGGAAAAATCCTATTGGGTTTTTGTCGAGGGAACCAGCGTCATGCTAACTGCCGGTTGGCCTACAAAGTAGCCAAACGTTGTGCTGGGTTTTCCTATTCCTGCGATGCGAATAGACCAAAAAGCAGTTCCTTCCGCCAATGGTTCTGGTTGGTGACCATCAAGGGAAAATATCCTTACACACCTTCCCACTTTTGAAGGGAGGTCTTTGACACATCTTTCCAGTGGACACCGGCTACCAAAGGAATTTGATTGTTGTAATTGATTTTCAGGTGGGTGCTGCTCTCAGATTTTTCTTTCTTGAAATAAGAGTGCAGAAGCTGAGTTCTGTAATTCAGTCCTCTGTCTAGGAGTCGCAGGCTGAGCTGGAAAAGTCAGTAGTATACATTATTATTATGAGACACAATAGTAGAAGACCACAGCATAAACAATAATGTGAGATAGCACATTTGATGTACACATTCTATATTCAGTTGGAAAATTTTAGTTAAGTTGAACCTCTACGGCATAACTGGTGAGGCCGGGTCCAGACTTGTTTCTGAGCGATTGATTGAAGAGAATCCTGTATTTGTTGCTGCTCTGGTTCCACTGCTTTCCATAGCTTACATCAAGAGATGACTGAACATGGCTTGGGCTCCATTCATGTCTAAGGTGAATCTGTTGGTTGAAACATTCAGCAGGTTTTCATATTTGTTATCATAAATCAGCATAGAATGTGCATTGCACTGTGGTACAGTACTAGAAGTGCCATGCCAGTACATTAATTATGTACATTATGTACTTTACATTAATTATGTAAAGCTATGATTTTGTCAAGATCTATTCATTTTTTCAACAAAAAAAAATCTCTCTCTCTCTCTCTCTATATATATATATATATATATGAAGAGTTCAGATGCAAAAGCCTCTAAGTGCCATTTGAAATTTTCTTCTTTAATTATCATTTTTATCAAGCTTGTATATTTAAGTTCAGTAATTTCACTTAAATGGCAATGATAACTTAAATAAAATATACAAGTTTGATAAAAATCATCATTAAAGAAGAAAATTTCAAATGGCATTTAGAGGCTTTTGCATCTGAACTCTTCATATATATATATATATATATATATATATACACACACACACAATTTACACATACAATCAAAACACACCTCTTCTATGATGAGCATGTTTTCTGAAATAATGTAACTTCTGAAATAAAAAATTCATCAAAACATAAAACAGGAAATTATATCATTGAGTGGACCTCTGCAACCCCATATGACCCCATATGTGTCATGGTTTATAAGATTTATAATACAAAAATTCAGATAATATTATCTTTTTAAGGCAATACTGGTTCAGGTTGTAAAGTGTAATTAACTGTGACTCCTTAAAAACTTAATGATATTTATAAATTAATAATTCATGATTTTGTAAATAGGTCTTTTGAAATATAATCTTAAAAGTCTCTTCTGCTCATCAGTGCTGCATTTATCTGCATGATCAAAAATACGGTAACACTTTATAATATAAGTACACAGTAATAAAGTACTTACAAATCCTTTGCAAACTATTAGTTTATAATTAATTAATATTTGATATATATATATATATATATATATATATACAGTATATATATATATTAATCCCTACATTGTTAATATATTAATATGATATATACAAATAGAGTTCTTCATTCATTGTCACTGATGTAATTGTTTAATTAGCCTAATGTTTAATTAGCTCATTTGTAATGTTTTTTATGCAGTTAATAACTCATTAATATTCACCGTAAATAGTTCTCACTTTAGATTAGGATATATATATATAGTCACATCAAGCTCTTAGAGAACAGTGAAGATGAATCTAATAATAATAATCTAATAAGTGCAGAGGAATGTATTGGTGGTAGAAAAAAATAGAAAAATACATATGTTTAATGTTTAAATACATCAGTTTGAGTTATGGGTAGAATTAGGGGATATAATACACTCAAACCCTCCATGTTATACATAAAAGTTGGTTTTAAAGCACTTAAATGACATTTTCTGATTTTCCGTGACCTAAGTAAGTTGTTAACAAATGAAGAACTCACTATTTGTATAAAGTTTATTAAAATATTAAGAATGTAGAGGATACAAAACTATGAACTAATAGTTTGCAAATGTACTTAGTATACTGACTGTATACTTATTATAAAGTGTTACCAAAAATACGGTAAAAATAGTAAATTGTGAAATAATGTTATATTTTAGGATAAAAGTTTTCTATTTTACTAACTTTTAAAATGTAATTTATTCCTGTGATGGTAAAGTGTCACATGATCCTTCAGGAATCAGTCTGATATGATGATTTGAAGCTCAAGAAACATTTCTTATCATTGTTGAAAACAGTTGTGTGTTGTAGAAACCGTGATACATTTTTTCAGATAAAGTTCAGATAAATAGTTTGAAATAAAAAAAAAATCAGTATTTACTGTCACTTTTGATCCCTTTATTGCATCATTGATGAAAAAGGTTTTCATTTATTTTGAGCCTTCAAACTAACTGTTTTTTTACTTGATGGTTACACCACATAGCATTTCTCATTTATTTTTTCTTGAAAATGGTATAAAAAAAATTGAATATAAAAGAAAACTCATGAGAAAATCGATATTACCTTGTGGTTTAGGTTGATGAGGTGGGAACAGTGGAGTTCATGTGTTGCTGTCATACGGTACGTCTGTTCTGGGTTCGACTCGCTGTGAAGGTTCTGGTTCATGTGACACTCTTGCATGGTCTGTGAATCCTCTGAAAAATATATCAGGGAATGACGAGTCTGTTGCGTTCTTGTCTTGAACTGTCGCGTTTTTTATTGTATAAATGACTTACCTTGTACGCCATACCTAATCCTGACAGCAGAGCTCCACTCTGGGCCCCTTTGCTTTACTAACCCAAAAACTCTGATGCTGACAGCGCTAGGCAAAATAAACCCGGCATCTATAGAATAATGTCTCTGGCTATCTTCCAGACTTCTCTCCAGCTGCACTGTGAAGTGAAGCAGAACATAAAGAGCTGGCAGCAAATCATTATATCACTGGAAATGATGTCCCAGAGTAACTCGAGGTCAATAGAGAAAAATCAGTTTTAACAAGTATGTATAAATCTTTCAAGAACTACCAAGCTCCCAATGTCAAAGCAATAAAATATCCATCCATCTATCTATCAATCAATAAAAAGTTCCACGTTATTTCCACTTTATGTCCACTTTAGACATTATACTTGTAATTTTGCAAAAACATGTCAACAAACTCTCATTAGAGTATTAGTAGACTAGTAGACTGTTAGGTTATGGTTAGGTGTTAGGGTTTGAGTTAATTAGTTGACTTGTATTTGCCAAGTTACTTAAAGTCAGTAGAATGTCTGTTGGGGGACCATCAAAATAAAGTGTTAGCAGATATTAAAGGAGTAGTTCACTTTTCAAAAAAACGTTTGCTGATAATTTACTAATTTAGTTTACAAAACTATCATAATTTTGCTGATAATTTACTCACCCCCATATCATCCAAGATGTCCAAGACTTTCTAAAAGAAATTTAGTTTTTTGATGAAAACATTCCAGCATTTTTCTCCATATAATGGACTTCAGTGGGAACCAAACGGTTCAAGGTCCAAAAGATACTCTCAGTACAAACTGCAAACTGTTCAAAGGCCTTTAAACGATTCCAGACGACGAGTAAGGGTCGTATCAAGCGAAACGTTGGCTCATTTAATAAATAAATGACAAAGTTTAAGTTTTATTAATACTCACCTTGCTCTGTTCTGTGTGACTCTCCTGTTCGAACTCGTTCATCAAAATGTCTTTTGCCGAGTCAATTCGTTCGTTTCGTTTGTTGAATGAACCAAATGACTCGGAAAAAGTTTCGAACGAGTTCGAACAAGAGAGTCACGAACGTGCATCACAGAACAGAGCAAGGCGAGCATTTGTGCTTATAAAACGTAAACTTTTTTATGTATTTATTAAATGAGCAATCATTTTGCTTGATAAGACCCTTATTCATCGTCTGGAATCGTTTAAAGCCCTTTGAACAGTTTGCAGTTTGTACTGAAAGTGTCTTTTGGACCTTGAACCGTTTGGTTCCCATGAAGTCCATTATATGAAGAAAAATGCTGGAATGTTTTCATCAAAAACCTTAATTTCTTTTCGACTGAAGAAAGAAAGACATGGATATCTTGGATGACATAGGGGTGAGTAAATTATCAGCATTTTTTTTTTTCAAAAGTGAACTACTCCTTTAAGCAGACAGTTTACTCTAATGACAGTTAGATGATATGTAGTTGCAAAATTACTTAGTAGAATGTCTAAAGTGGACTATCGAAAGTTTTTTTTTTTTTACGCCTTTCGCAATGCTTCATATGATGAGTAGTTCAAAACAAATTTGAAATGATCATATTTATTACTTTAAAATGTGTATTTTGTATCATGCTTAGAATTCCACATTGACAAATCTTTCGAAATACCTAATGAATAAAAATGAGAAACTGAATGAGGAAAAAAAGGCTTTTGGGACCATTAAAAAGGTGATCACTATTAGAATATTCTTGCCTGAGAGTGATGCGTCCTTATTGAAGACATTTTTAAGCAAGGCCTGTATTATGAACTTCCTGTTGCGAGCATGTGTGGTGTTGACCGAGAGGGAGAATGGATGTCCATTTGCTGCTACTTTGGCATCAAGATGAAAGTGGGCTCTCGTCTCTGAAGCAAGATTCACCATCTCCAGTAGTCCCTTAGGCACAATGGTGAATGATTTAATGAATCATGGTCTTGACTAAGACAGGATTCTTGAATAATACATCACAACAGCTTTTCTTGGGACTTTACAAAGCAGATATTCTTCTCACTCACCTTTAAAAAATAATGGTGGATGTTGTCAATCAGTAATTCGATTCTGCCTAAATGTTGGTTGTTTAATTCTTCAAGCTGCGCTGTGAGAAAACAGATGAGAAAACGTTCACAGAAACTTTCATACGATAAATATTGTGTTTGATGCAATTGTATCATTGTTCTTGTGTAAAAGCAGCCTTTTAATATCCATAAGGAAATCCATTTTTGGAAGTGGGTTTGAAACCTTGAATGAGAATGTTTTTCAGGGGATGTATTATTTTCAAGATCAGCCTTTTCGGACTGAGATTGACATCCAGGGACACATCTCTTGGGATAGTGGATTGTGGCGTGCCAAGAAAGAGAAGCAGAGTGGCTTCCAGCGGCATCCAGGAATTCCGCTGTCAAAGATCCACAGAAAGATCGTTATGTTGACGTTCCTAATCTGAATGGATTGATACAAGAGTCACTATGATTTTCCCAAGTAAGACATGTTCCTGGATCAACATATTTTAATCCGAGGGAAATGATAGGAAAATTACACCCTGGTTTTAAGCCTAAACTTGACATAAGCCGCGTTTCCACCGCAATTTCGAGGAACTATTTGTCCCAGGAACTTTTTTCATAGGAACTTTTGGTAACACTTTACAATACAGGTGCACTAATATGCATTAATTCATGCTTAAGTAATCCACAGATAATCATGAGTTAATGTATAACTAATGAAGAACTAAACCATTAATTAATGATTACTGCATCAGCAACTAATAAAGAGTCTACTGTATATGAATAATAGATTAAGTAATACACGAATTGCTATTAATTCAACGTGCCATTGTGTATTAATTCCTTAATAACATTTTATTTACTAATAGTGTAAATTAATGTGTTAATTACCACAGTTAGTCAAAGCATTGCACTTCAACTTCCAGTTGTCTGCTTTAATTAATCATTAGCTAATGATTTTTAAAGGTATCATTATGTTATGACTTTACTTGTTGGGGCACGTCATTATTAACTAGTAATATAGTAATTGTAGTAATTTGCACATGAATTTGCACTAACAATGAAGTAATTAATCATATATTAATGCATATTAGTGTACCTGTCATATTATCTGGAAGCTGAAATACAAGGCTTTGGCTCATTCTGGTAATTAACATATTAATTAACACTATTAGTTAAAAAATGAGTTATTATGGAATTAATCCACAATTGCATATTTAATTAATAACAATTAATGTATGAACTAATACATTAACCTTACAGACTCTTAATTAGTTCCTAATGTGGTAATCATTAATGGATAGCTTAGATAATAATTAGTTACACATTAATTCAGTATTATCTGTGCATTAGTTAAGCATGAATTAATGCTTATTAGTGCACCCGTATTGTAAAGTGTTACCGAACTTTTTTTGCCCCACATCGGTTGCTTACTGCGTTTACACTGCGGACTGAAGTACCGGGAAGATTTTGGTGACGTTGAACTGCGTGTGACTGCTCCTCCCAGTCTGCACATTTGTTTTGAGTTTTGAGTGCGTTTTAAGTATGGAGGAGATTCAAGCTGTGCTGCTTTTGTGTGCGATCTATTGGTTTACTTACGAGGTAATTAACCAAATGGCAGAAAAGAGACGAGCACTTATACTAAAGCGTATTCAGAAAGCTCGTAATGCTAGATATAAAAGTAGACATTTGTTATCAGCGGACATTGACCGTGAGATGGATGGGACGAACGCGTGCCATGGGGCAGAAAGAACAAGTGGTAAGAACCAATTGGCATATTCAGCGCACAAGTCCCACCCCGAAAGTTCCCGAACTCTGAAAAAGTATTACCTCGCCAGCAGGGACTTTCTGGGGGGGGGGATTTTTACCTGGAACTTCATTTAGACCCTGGTTCCTTTGGTGTAAACACACTGAGTACCACCCCAAAGTTCCTAGTTCCTGGGGAAAGTTCCTGTGGTGGAAATGCGGCTATAAACTTTTACCTCAAATCTGACTGGTTCATTGGAATGTTGTTTCAGGATCAACAAAGATGTTGATCCAGGAACATGTTAAACTTGGAAAAATCCTGTACACCCTCATGTCAGATATCTTGCCTACCTGGGGTACAAAAGTATAGGCCGCCTCCAAGAGGTACTGGTTGAGACCTTTGTCCAGTTTTTGGAGTCTGAGAGTAAAAAGAACTGGGCCCAGTGGTGGGAAGCCTTTTCCCATCAATGTCAAAGGATAAGTGATATCAGAGCATAACTGCCATCCAACCATCTTAGACCCTGCAAAAAAAAAAAAACAAATAAAAAATGTCGACACGAGGCGGATTGAATTTTTTCCATGAACATGTTTTTAAAGAAATGTGTAGCTAATGTTGCTTTAAAACAAACTCACATGTTTTAGGAGTGCAAGTGTTCTTCTCCTTGAGATTTCTTGTAGCCATGAGCTCCACTTTACTGTCCCCACTCACACGAAACATTCTGGAGCTGTCTCAACAATTTTAGAGTCAAGATAACCATAACTTTTAGGTTTGATAGTCCACTTCAGACATTAACTTAATTGGCAACTACAGGTTAACTAATTCTCATCAGAGCATTGGTGTAGACTGTTAGGTTAGGGCTAGTAAAGTAAGTTGAAATGTACTTGTGAAGTTATTTACAGTCTGTAGAATGTATGTTGGGGTATCATCACAATAAAGTGTTAGGAGATAGTCCAGTAATACTCTAATGACTGGTAGTTGCAAAGTTACTTATACTTGGAATGTCTAGTAGACTATCGAAATAAGATGATACCAAGTTTTATATCTCTTTCAGTAATTTAAATAAATGTTACACGGTGCAACCATCATGTACATACTGTATACTATCAATAGATTTACATGTGCACATCTTAATCTTTATTTTCAAAAAATGTGAAAATGAAGTAAAAACGTGCATTAATGATATTTATGAATTTATTTAAGAAGAATAAAAAAGTTGGGAGGAGTGGCGTCACATGACATTGCCTGGTCATAAAATAACATCTGAATTATTGTCTGCAATGGTCTTAATGATTTTATTTACCATTTAGCTTCTAAATGTTGTTTGCACCACATGACTTTAATTTAGAGGACAAAGTTTTAATAAGCATTGTAGCAGTTTTGTCGAAAGGTTTTTTTTTTCTTTTTTTCTAAGAAATACTAATAGAAGATCATTCCAAACACCTTAAGGTTTTCTTTCCAAGGATTTCATTTCTTCATTATGGTATCCGTAAAGTTGTAAGATCCTGACATTTTGTTCTTTATTTCCATCTAATAACATATCAAAGTGAATTTACATATTTATAATAAAAAAAACTGTTCATACCTGAAGGTCAATATATCCATGACATCTTCTGGAGTATTGAGAACCACTTTCAGGCTCTGCCCATGGTGCAGATATACAGCTCCATCCAAGCTGGTGAAGGTTTTGAGTTGAGTGACCCACTCTAATCCCACACGACCAAACGCTCCATCCACTCCTGCTCTCACAGAGATGGCGACCAGTGCACTGCGGACGAGGACAAACAGGACGTGACTTGCCATCATGACTTCTACCTGACAGCACAAAGCCATTGTTAAAGCTACATCAGACATACTTTGGTTTGACATAGCCAGCCAGAGAAAAATGTGACCAATTCTTATAGTTAGCGGTGCCTTTAAGTCTGAGGGACAACAGAGTGGACATGTTGATGCTTAGCCTCATGGGTAATCCAGAGAGAGATGGTAAAACCAGTTCCTCTGACAGCACAATTGGCCTTTGACTGATTTTAACCTCTTGACCCTGAGAAAAAGGACCAAATGAAAACAAGAATAAGGTTTAGTCTTATTATTGTATATTATTATATTATATTACATGTATATTATGAGAAAATTAAAGTGTTTTTTGACCTTGGATGTATATAACCCTATTCAAGGAGACCTCAAAAACAAACTTAGGAATTAAAAACCATCAATGTGAATCTTGTAATTTTATAAAAGCAGTTACATTCATTCAACTCAAAACTGGAGTGTTTTTGTATTTTTTGTAAAATTTGAGTGTTTGTATTAAACAGTCCGGGATTTAGATGTTGTGTTATATTATTATGATGACAAAGTTGTAAAATTGGACATAATTTTACACAGGTGAGGTTTGTAAGTGATTTTTGTCACACTAAAACTATTGAAAGAGTGAATATTGAACCTCAGAATATTCCTTTAAGTAACATCTTGAGAAATAATTTTTTACCTTTAACAACTTGACAACAACGCCAGCTGTACTAAGTGACAGCTTTCTCTGATATGCTTGGAGGTCATCACAGGTCATAAAGGTGAGGTCATTGCCGAACATCTTCACATTTATCCAACATCGGAAAGTATTGTCTCGTTTCCTCTGCTCTGTGAACTTAAACAGTCAAACCCGGTCATGTCTGATGTAGAGCCAAATAACAGACACAAAACCACCATCCGCAAGACTCTCACCTTAGTCTTGATGGAATTTAATGCTGTGGATTGACAGCCATCACTGTCACTGTTTCTATCATTCTGTCCATGCCTCGTGGAGTCTGTTTGAGCCTTAGGTCTGGCATGATCAGCAGATGCAAGAGGGTTCTCCTCAAAGATTGTTTTCAGAATAGGCTCTAGGTTTTCCATTCTTAGGCTAATCTAAACAAATAAATAAAAATAATATTATTGAACTTTTCATTTGCTACAAAACTACTAAAATATTTGTTTTCTGGCTAACATAATCTAGTTCCCCACATAGCCTAGACTGGTCTGCTTTCAGCCTTACACTACCCCTCTTCATAACCCCCTTACTCCGGAGGTTACACCACCTAGTTTGGGAATCACTGGGTGGTGTAATCTCCAGGGGAAGGGGGTTATGAAAGTGGTAGTGTAAGGCTAAGGGATGGTGTAAAGAGAGCAGATTGTTATACAAAATAAACCTCTTTGGGGTGATACTAGAACACTGCATCACGAAATTATCCCTCTTACTATGCTTCTTGACACATACACTCACGATTGGGAACACCATACTGATAGGTCCAACCCCTTATGCCTTAATTCTACGTGGCATTGATTCAACAAGGTGCTGAAAGCATTCTTTAGAAAGGTTGTCCCATATTAATAGGATAGCATCTTGCAGTTGATGGAGATTTGTGGGATGCACATCCAGGGCACGAAGCTCCCGTTCCACCACATCCCAAAGATGCTCTATTGAGTTGAGATCTGTTGACTGTGGGGGCCATTTTAGTTCAGTGAACTCATTTTCATGTTCAAGAAAACAATTTGAATTGATTCAAGCTTTGTGACATTATCCATGCTGGAAGTAGCCATCAGAGGATAGGTACATGGTGGCCATAAAGGGATGGACATGATCAGAAACAAAGCTCAGGTAGGCCGTGGCATTTAAACGATGCCCAATTGGCACTAAGGGGCCTAAAGTGTGTCTAGAAAACATCCCCCACACCATTACACCACCACCACCAGCCTGCACAGTGGTAACAAGGCATGATGGATTCATGTTCTCATTCTGTTTACGCCAAATTCTGACTCTACCATCTAAATGTCTCAACAGAAATCTCTTCCTGGGAAAGTGCCTGCACCTTGTGGCTCAGTTCATGGGGCTGAGTTGGATTTCTGGATCTTTAATTCTTCAGATCACAGTGAGAAACTCATGTTGTCTGCGTCTGACTCTGAGGGGTTGGATGTACAATCAGACTGCTGCTTCAACAGAGCAGCTTCCTCAATCTGGCACATTTGAGTAGCTGATCCGGGTTGTTACTCAAGCAGTGGCCAAGTTAAACATTGATTGACCAAATGAGAAGCAAGCGGTCATTCGTTTCAAGCTTGATGATAGCTTCCTCCCCTCAGCTGGAGTCCAACCTCATTGCCGCCTTCTCCCGTTCTTGCTTGACCTACACACTGAGGTATAAAGGGGTGCTTGGAAGAACACATACTCAGCCTGTGTACAAACCCAGGCCACCTCGACATATTATAAGTTGGTCTGGAAGTGCAAGCGTGGGTATGGGGCGATGCCTAAGCCCTCAGCCCACCCCTGCCCATACCTAGTTATTTCATGTGTGAAATCAGTTATTAGATTAGAAGATTATGAAGATAAACTGAAGTGTTCACTTGGGAAATACAAACAGATGTCGAACAGATTCACCTCCAGAAGATTGAACGCTCTTCCCAGGATGTGAACAGTCAGATTCGCCATAGCATAACGTGGAAGAAAAGATTCAGGGGAGAAAACCACAGTTCCCTCGATGTTTGCAGCGGCCACTCCTGAAGCAGACATACAAATAGGAACAATTGAAAGTGTTATAAATAGAAAACTATTGGAAACAGCTGGAAAAGTTACATTATGTCTAGTACCTGTATCCACTGTGTAGTCCATATGCGAAGAATATTTCCATGGTTCAGCTTCGAAGTCTTTACTTATAATATCATCTGGCAGTGATTCCATCAGGTCTTTCTTCAGGGGGTCTTCTGTTTTCTGGATATTAAAAAGGTGACTCCAAACAAATGACCCAACTGTGGATATATCATGGAGAACATATGACAATGGGTCTCGTTTTATAGCCGAAGAGTGTTGGAAATATGAAGGTTGAAAATATATAACCATTTCCATGCACAAGTAACATACAGTTTTTGGCTCATGTGTGACTTACACTTCTTTTATTGTTTAGTGATGTTTACACTCATATTGACCTTGCTGACCTTGACCTTTGGTTTTTTTTTAAGCCATATTTTATTACATGTTTTTTGCACTGATTTTTAACCCCACAACCCTAATTTTGAAAATAACAAGACTGGAACTAAACATGTTTTGGTAACACTTTATTTGAAGGGGTGTGCATAAGACTGACATGACACTGTCATAAACATGACATAACATCTGTCATGAACATAAAGGAGTCTTTATGAATGTTTATGACTGTTGTCATTAAGTGTCATTCGGTAAATTATGACACTTTTAATGCAAAGTTGACATTGTTTAAAATGTCTTTTTTATGACAACTTGACATTAACAAAGACAAAAAATGTCTTGATTATGACAACTTGACATTAACAAAGACAGAAATATCTTTGTCATGACAACTTGACATTAACCAAGAAATCATAACCTGTCAACCTGACATCTACAGTATATAACTAGTCCAACTTGTTCCACTTTACTTGAGGTAAGGGGAAATATTAATGACACTGTTGTTTGACAGCATTTGACAGTGTAATAACCCTTAATGACATCTTTATAACTAGTACAATGTGTTCCACTTTACTTGAGGACAAGAAAAATATTCATGACACTGTTATAATGGTGTCATGACGGCCAAAGTCAAAAACATCCACATATGACAGGGTAATGTAATGTTAACGAAAAGCTAAATAACTTCTTTAAGTTTGATAATTAGACCTGTTATGACATATTTGTGACAGGTTATGATTTCTTGGTTAATGTCAAGTTGTCATAATCAAGACATTTTAAACATTTTAACTTTGCATTAAAAGTGTCATAATTTACCGAATGACACTTAATGACAACAGTCATAAACATTCATAAAGACTACTTCATGTTCATGACAGGTGTTATGTCATGTTTATGACAGTGTTATGTCAGTCTTATGCACACCCCTTCAAATAAAGTGTTACCCATGTTTTTATTATCTTTTTATTTTTTTCCAAATGTAATGTGTGATTTATTATGAGACACACCAAATGAAGTGATACTACCAGAATTTACTCTTGAATATTTATCAGTAACACTTTACAATAAGGTTTCATTTGTTATCATCAGTTAACTAATGTTACTTATTTCATTGTTAGTTAATGTTGACTAATGGGACCTTATGGAAAAGTGTTATCAATTTGTCGATTCATGTTATAATGATTAGAATTTCAAACTTTCATTGATAGTGTCGATTTAATGTAGTACATTTGAGTTACTAATAAATTTCAATACCTTGACTGGACTGCTCATTGCTTAACGTTTTCTTCACAATTGTGAAAATCTCCTGGTTTGGACAGTGCATGAGCTGCTGATATGCTGCAATTCTGACCTCCACATTCTCTTCCTGTCTTTGAAATGCCTGAGCAAGGGCTCTCCGCTGATAACATAAAAAAGAACAGAACGCAAGGACGTAAGTTATGCAGTAATAGACGTAACATTGATGTAAACTGGTCACTGTTGTTTGGTGATGCTGACGTCATGGTGGCATGGGATTCTCCTGAATGCTCGTATAGCGGCCAGACGCAGCTCCAAAGGCACAGAATGATTCTGCACACAGCGACTTAGTGTGGAGATGAGGTCTGATCCAGCCGCACCAGCAGTCTCCACTGCTTTCAACACATGCAGAAGCTGCAACGAGAGATGCAGAACAGATTAAAGGAATATTCCAGGTTCTTCAAGAGATAATTGACATAATTTGTGGCATAATGTTGATTACCACCAAATACAATTTTCGGTACATTAAATACTGAATGTTTCATCACTATAACCAGAAGACATACACAATATGAGTTAACATGATTTTCATGTGAAAAAAATCACTATTTCTGTGTAATGTTATATCCAGTTTGCCAACTCTGTCACATGTCGTTTCAGTTCTAGGACTCTTCTTATGACTTTCATTTCTTTCTAGCGTTTCTGTCTTTCTTGTTCCTATCTTTTGTTCCTGTTTGCCTTGGTTGCCTTGTTTCCTGTGTGTGCTCATTTGTTCCAATATTTGCCCATTGTGTTCACCTGTTCCTTGTTAATGTACTCTTTTACTCCTGTGTATTTATACCCTCTGTTTATTTCTGGTTCATGCCGGTTATTGTCTTTACCTAAATGTGAAGCTGTCAATTATTTTTCTGACCGTACTGGATTGTCATCTTTGTTTTTGGTTGTTTATTAAAGGGACACTCCACTCATTTGCATAAAGCTTTACATTGTTAGAAACCCAGTTATACTATTGACACCCTCTCATTTTCCCCTAAGACGAGAGAAATCTGCCATTTACATTTTTCACTTCCTCCAATGAAGCAAAAATCATTTTACGTCATTGCAAGGAAGTGTAATGGGGGGGGGGGGGTTCTGTAAAGACTACAAGCACTAGATCCCACCCAGAAAAATGCTGCCAGTTGAGTTGGTGCTTGCATGATAGCCTATCTCTACTGTCTATGGTTATTGTCATCTTTCTACTGTACCTCTGTGATCTGAAAAGGGTCATCCACTTCACATCCTGCCTCAAGACTCTGCTTCAGAACATGGACGAACTGCTGGACTTCAGAAATCTCTTTGCATCGACCCTGTTCCTGTTGACAAAGGCCGTGGACCAGTGAAGACACAACCAGAAGTGCTTTTGGACGGATAAGAGGTATATCCAGAAGAGCCTTGAGGAGAAAAGTCCAGCAAATCCACTCAGTTTTTAGATAAAGCTTTCAGTCTAGTATTATAAAATAATTCAAATTAATTCAGTGAATTACTCAAAACCGTACACTGAGGTGGCTAATCATGGATGAAGTAGGGTGGGACGTAAAACTGATAGTATTGAGGAGGGGTAGGACATGTTCTAGGTCAACTTCTTTGTTCAGAATGAGGTCTGTTGTGACAATGATGCAGTCCTCAGTTCCACAGGCTGACAGCATATCTACAAGTGGCTGCCTGCCACGACAACAGAAACCAACATTAACATTGTAAAATAACAAATGTAACAAGACATTGTAAAAAACATTGTATTTTATTATAAAACAATGACATTAAGATTGTCAATAGAAAGCCCCTATTAGGGGACATGGGGATGGGGGAAAAAATATTTTGTTTTCTCTTTGGGTTCCCTAGTAGACCTTTGGGAGATTCTCGGCAGAACACTGTAGCATTTGGACCAATCAGGCACACAATTATTCATTATATTTAACATATTCATATATGATTATTACAGTCTTGTATAGTGTCTTTTGCATTGTACATGCTTTATGATAGAACCATTAGTTAATGTAACCTCACCTACAGTGGGGCCAAAAAGTATTTAGTCAGCCACTGATTGTGCAAGTTCTCCTACTTAGAATAATGAGAGAGGTCTGTAATTTTCATCATAGGTACACTTCAACTATGAGAGACAAAATGAGAAGAAAAAAAATCCAGGAAACCACATTGTAGGATTTTTAAAGAATTTATTTGTAAATTATGGTGGAAAATAAGTATTTGGTCACCCACAAACCAGCAAGATTTCTGGCTCTCACAGACCTGTAACTTATTCTTTATGAAGCTCTTCTGTCCTCCACTCGTTACCTGTATTATTGGCACCTCTTTGAACCTGTTATTTGTATAAAAGACACCTCTCAACAGCCTCAAACAGTCACACTCCAAACTCAACCCTGGCCAAGACTAAAGAGCTGTCGAAGGACACCAGGAAGAAAATTGTAGACCTGCACAAGGCTGGGAAGAGTGAATCTACAATAGGCAAGCAGCTTGGTGTGAATAAACCAACTGTGGGAGCAATTGTAAGAAAATGGAAGACATACAAGACCACTGATAATCTCCCTTGATCTGGGGCTCCACGCAAGATCTCATCCCGTGGGGTCAAAATGATCATGAGATCCCAGAACTACATGGAGGGACCTGATGAATGACCAGCAGAGAGCTGGGACAAAAGTAACAAAGGCTCCCATAAGTAACACACACCGAGAGGGACTCTAATCCTGCAGTGCCAGGCGTGTCCCCCTGCTTAAGCCAGTACATGTCCAGGCCCATCTGAAGTTTGCCAGAGAGCATATGGATGATCCAGGAGAGGATTGGGAGAATATCATGTGGTCAGATGAAACCAAAATAGAACTTTTTGGTAAAAACTCAACTCATCGTGTTTGGAGAAAGAAGAATGCAGAGTTGCATCCCAAGAACACCATACCTGCTGTGAAGCATGGGGGAGGAAACATCAAGCTTTGGGCCTGTTTTCTGCAAAGGGGACAGGAAAACTGATCTGTGTTGAGGGAAGAATGAAAGGGGCCATGTATCATGAGATTTTAAGCCAAAACCTCCTTCCATCAGTGAGAGCCTGGAAGATGAAACGTGGCTGGATCTTCCAGCATGACAATGATCCCAAATTTTGTCTCTCACAGTTGAAGTGTACTTATGATAAAAATTACAGACCTCTCTCATTATTAGGAGAACTTGCACAATCAGTGGCTGACTAAATACTTTTTGGCCCCACTGTAAATCATGTTTGGTATCTATGAATTTCTATTTTAATTATCTGAATGAGCATTTATGTTATCTTGATACCTATGCAACATATTGCAAGAGTCTTTAATAGTTTCTCCACCAACACCCAATCCAGTTACATATGCAAAACAGACTGCTCAAAGACAAGTTGTTTAGATTTGTGTATGTGTTTGTTGATTTAGTTTAGTAAAACTTCTGTGCACTGCTCATAAATCAACGATCCTTTAACAATATGATCACAGCTAAATGCTAGAAAGAGTATATTTCTGTAGCCATGAAACATATCATTTCTGAGTATTGGCAGACGATCAATGAGTGTTCGCTGGACAAACAGATTCATTGATAGCAATATGAATACATTTAATAAGCTACTTCTATTCAAACTGATCCAAATATTATTCATATTTCTCTATTAAGCCAATTTGCTACAATGCAAGAAAAAAAACATTTCGAGATAATGCAAAAGGCATTTTTTTTCTTTTTTTTATGTCTGTTTAAAAGGCTCTGTGTGTCTATTACTGCTACTAACAGGAAAGTAAAATGAATAAAACAATAATCTAATTTCACCCCCAAAATAAAAATAAAAAGCTAGAAATGATATGCATTTATAAAAAGACATTATGTTTATGGCAATTTAGCTCATTCAATTCTTTAAAAAAAATATTATTGTGTGATCAAATCACAACACTGTATAGTATAAATTCATTATAATTTTTTAGCACAACTAAATTAAAGTCACATGCAATATATATATATATATATATATATATACATTTAATTTCAAAACAATATAATAATTGTTGAAGGACCAACCAGTCGTCTCGGCATTTGAAGGAGGCCTCATGCCATAAGTCTCTCAACTGATGGGATGACATTGATCGCAGCTGAAGCACCAGATTGAGCAGAAGCTCTGATTGCTAAGAATGATGAAGAAAGGTGAGAGAAACCTGGCTTCATCAATTAAAGGCATGCTTTAATGCTGTGAACCAGTGCCTGAGCTCACCTGTTGTTGATCTGCAAGGTAAGCACACAACGTCCTCACGGTGTTGGAAACCTCTTGAACTGATGGTCCACCATGTCTGCCTGAGGTTTGGCCTTCAGCCTCAAACACAATACTGCTCAAGTGGCCGGTGATCTGTCCTGAATTACAGAGAAGAATAATGAAGAGTTATGTGTGAGCTTTTGTTTACCATATTTGATGTGTACGTTGATGAATGAAGCCCAAATTCAATCTATATAAAGTGATCGTGTCGTTTCAGAACATTTTGGACTAAACCGCTCAATTCATATGGATTAGCTTTACAATCTCTTTATGATCTTTTAAGTTTCAGTTGAGAGTTCTCAGATTTCATCAAAAATATCTTAATTTGTGTTCCAAAGATGAATGAAATTCTTACGGGTTTGGATGACAATGAGTAATTACTGACAGAATTTTCATTTTTGACTAACTGATTAACCTTCAAGGAGATAATCCATTGCACATTATTATATATTCAAAATGAATCATTTAGATATATTTTCAAACCAGTTTGACAGATTCACTAGAATTAAATTGATCAAAAGAGTCGGTTTAAAGGAGTAGTTCACTTTTCAAAAAAACTTTTGCTGACAATTTACTCACTCACCCCCATGTCATCCAAAATGTCCATGTCAATCTTTCTTCAGTCAAAAAGAAATTAAGGAATATTCTCTGTTCTGTGACGCACATTTGTGACTTTCCTGTTCGAACGCGTTCATCAAAATGAACGAATCTTTTTCCGAGTCATTTGGTCCATTCAACGAACAAAACAAGTTGATTCGAAAAAAGATTTGTTCATTTTGGTGAACGAGTTCGAACAGGAGAGTCACGAATGTGCATCGTGGTACAGAGCAAGGCGAGCATTTGAGCTTATAAAACTTAAACTTTGTTATTTTTTTTTTTAAATGAGCGATCGATTCGCTTGATAAGACCCTTATTCATCGTCTGAAATCGTTTAAAGCCCTTTGAACAGTTTGCAGTTTGTACTGAAAATGTCATTTGGACCTTGAACCGTTTGGTTCCCAGTTCCACTGAAGTCCATTATATGGAGAAAATCCTGGAATGTTTTCATCAAAAACCTTTTTTTTTTTTTTTTCCACTGAAGAAAGAAAGACATGGACATCTTGGATGACATGAGGGTGAGTAAATTATCAGTAAATTATCACATATATATATATATATATATATATATATATATATATGAATTTCTTAGAATTTTTTATTGAATTGCAAATCTCCTTTTAATTCAAATTCGAATTGTAATTCTAGATCCTATTTTTGACATCAATTCAAATTCAAGAATTGAATTGGAATTCTGCAGTCATTCTCAATTCAATTCTGAATTGTGCACAAGCCTGGTAGAAATATGGCATTACTACATACCTCTGAAAAAGACTAATGTGATCACATTGGATCGAAAGCCATCTTAGTCTTACCCAAGTCCATTGGAGTTGCTTCAAGGGTTCTGAGTAGAGTTAAGGTTGAAACGGTTTTAGTTTCTGTGGCTTCTAACAGGCCTGGCAGGGGAATCAGTGACACAGTTTCTGTACAGTTGACCTTCTTCAGCATTGTCTCATCATAGAGCTGAATGCACGTGAGCCCTGCACTCACTGTCTAATCAAACGAAAGGGACACTCAAACTGAAGACAAATTCTCATTGGGTCAGTTATGTGAATGTTAAATGCAAAAATTGGGGCCCACCATGCCCTCCTTCAGGGGGACAGAGTTCTTCCAAAACTGATTGATTCTCTCACTGAGGCACTGCTGGAGGTTTCGGGTCTTCATCAGAGATGGTCCTCTCTGTTCATAATAACTCATACATGTCCCATACACATCAGTCTGTAGAGAAAACATAATCCAACATCATTAATATTGCTCATACTTACATTGTCTTGAGAAAAAAAGGATATATTTTTAATGTTTAAACTCATTAACATTAAAAAAGCTTTTTGAAAGAAGTCTTATGCTTTTTGTCAAGTCAGTGAACTCTTATTCACAGGCTTTAAATATGACTGCCTCGGACTCCATGTCTGCATCCGAAAGTTAATGCCTGTTACAAACTGTGCGATTTTTGCAATCCTAGATGATCACTGTACAACATGGATCTAATACTGTATGTAGACTGTACAATGATCACACCTTTTAAAACATACTGTAGGCCACAATGCAAGTTAGTATAGCAGAATGAAATGTCATCAGCCTGCTAATGGTGAACAAATGGTGGACTTCGACAATTGCTTTTTATGTACTCTGAAAAAAAAAATGAATGAAGAGATTATGGACGTCGTCATGGCGAAGCAAAAGAGGCCAACTTGCCATGCCAATTTTGCAAATGGAGCTTGAGGTAAGTAGTAATAAGTTTTAGCGCCATGCCGCATTTATCAATACGCATTTTATGTTGCATTTGTATTTGCGGTAACACTTTACAATATGGGTGCACTAATATGCATTAATTCATATTAAATAATGCATTGATAATCACGAGTTAATGTATAACTAATGAAGAACAAAACCATTAGTTAATGATTACTGCATCAGCAACTAATAAAGAGTCTATATGATTAATAGATTAAGTAATACATGAAGTGCTATTAATTCAATGTGTCATTGTGTATTAATTCCTTAATAACATATTTTATTAACTAATGGTGTAAATTAATGTGTTAATTACCACAGTTAGTCAAAGCTATGCACTTCAACTTCCAGTTGTCTGCTTTAATTAATCATTAGCTAATGATTTGCAAAGGTATCATTATGTTATGACTTTACTTGTTGGGGCACATCATTATTAACTAGTAATATAGTAATTGTAGTAATTTGCACATGAATTTGCACTAACAATGAAGTAATTAATCATTTATTAATGCATATTAGTGTACCTGTCATATTATCTGGAAGCTGAAATACAAGGCTTTGGCTCATTCTGGTAATTAACATATTAATTAACACTATTAGTTAAAAAATTAGTTATTATGGAATTAATCCACAATTACATATTTAATTAATAACAATTCATGTATGAACTAATACATTAACCTTCCAGACTCTTAATTAGTTCCTAATGTGGTAATCATTCATGAATAGCTTAAATAATAATTAGTTACACATTAATTCAGTATTATCTGTGCATTAGTTAAGCATTAATGCTTATTAGTGCATCCGTATTGTAAAATGTTACCGTATTTGCTAGTCAGTGGATGTAAGTCTAGCGGCAAACACACTGTGAGATGATCATGCTACATTTCTGACATTTGGTCACAAGATCGTGACAACGGACATCTTTGAGCTCGACAGGGACGCGACTATTTTATTAGATGAAATCTCGTAATTACGTTAATTATGACATGGAGTGAATGCACCTTGATTTTAAACACATAATTCAGCGTAATTTGTTTACAACAACAAAATAGAGCAAAGCTTTGCTGACAACTAAGCCAACATAGGACACAAAAAGTGTGAAAAGTAGGTCAAAAATGTATATTTACACACACACACTGACTACTAACTGCAATTTTCAGACTCCATATTTCCTTTTAGCTCAACTGTCATGGAATGGAACGCATAGGATTGTGGGATATAATGGTCAGTGAAGGATGCTTCCTTCAAAAATGCATCAGATGAAGGCATCTCACAATAATTGGATACAGATGTGCCTTGTTAAAGGTTTATATATATATATAGTTTCCATGACAGAGTTCAAGATAAATATTTTCATTATTACTGGAGCTGCAAATTTGCTTAGTTTCAAATAATTATTAAACATCAAGCACAAACTATGCAAACACTCAGTGTCCGAATTCACACAATCGACATTATTAACTCCTTCAAGTGAACTATATAGTGACATAATGCAGGGAATAGTTCACGAGGGTATGGGGACTATTTCTAGACTCTCGGTTCTCAAAGCTGAATTTTCAGCATCGTTACTCCAGTCTTCAGTCACATGATCCTTCAGAAATCATTCTAATATGCTGATTACTATATTTACATTTTTCTGAAATACATTTTCAAGTTTGTTGTGTAAAAGCTGGCCTGTAACGGAACAGCAGTTCCTCTCTCACCTCTCTTAGCGTCTCCATGACTCGTCCCGAGCGAGAGGTCTGGAACATGCTCAGGATGGATCTCTTGATGTTGAGGGTCCACACCTGCTCAGCCTCCTGTGGGCAGAGCTTCGTGACCTTTCCCCCCTCCAGCGAGAACCGCAGGGGGTTCTTCTCCAATGACTCTCTGAGAAATCAAAACACCAGATGGACCTTCAACCTCTCAACACTCGTCCCATGAATACAGACTAACTCTAGTGTGTCAAGATCAAGAATTATAGTCAATGACATGACCCTCAACTGAAGTACTATGTTATTTAAAATGTTTATATCACTCTGATTAATTCTGACACCTTGAGCCAGATATGAAATAACAGTGACTGTACAATTTTTGTGTAATAATTGGATGCAAACACAGAAGAGCATGAGTGAGCGTATCAGAAACTTGGAATTTACCTTGTGTTTTTCAAGCGTAGCACCGAATTGTCTCGTTTCGATGAGCTATGCTTTATTTGTATGTTCCTCAGCTATATGGAATACATTAAACATAATATTAAAGGTATTATTATATGAATATGGCTATTATCTAAGTTTGAATCAAAAGCCCTGCATGTGTCCATGAATCTCATGAGAGGTTGTATTGTTGTTATAAAAATGTTGCATTATAAAGCATGAAAAGCTATGTCAATATGCACTCAAAAAAATATTAAAATATAACTCCATTAACTGCCACCCCCCTTTTTGTCAATAGATGTGAAAATCCACTATCCAAACTTAAACGGTTGTAATTCAAGAAAGCTTTGTAAGAGTTCGGTCTTGTTTTAAAGAAGACACTCAGAGTGTTACTTTTTTAAAAAAGAAAGTGTGAAAAAGGTATAGAAGTTTAAATTTACTGTAAATCAAATGTATTTTACTAAATATTTTATATATTTCACTAAATAATTTGAAGGTGATGTCACAGAAATTGAAATTCCTATGAGATTTTGTCTTGGCTCTGTACAAAAAACCCCCCAAAAAAACAACAACAAAAAAAAAAACACCGTGCCACTGTGTGTCACCTACACTCAATTGATTTTGTTTTTGTTTTTTTGATGCGTTCTCATGTAACAAATTAATAAATTTTTGTCCAATCACAAAATATGGAACCTTGAGACTCAGGCCTTTCCGACGATATGTGTTTTGTCAAGATTAGTAAAGGTTTTGATTGTAAAGTTGTTTGTAAAATTATTTTTTTGTAAAATGAAACCTGACAACGCCCACTAGGGGAGGAGCCTGCTAAAAGAATTGAAAGTACTGTTACCATGGTAATGCAACGTCCAGCTTCAAAACTGTTTTCACTGAATGATTTTTGAGTTTGTAAGCTTTCGAATGATACCTAATTTATGATGATTACCAAAATATGTGATATGAAAAAGCCGATAAAAATTAGCACCAAGCGTCCCGTGGTGAGGGGTGACGGTTAAGGGGTTGAAATCTCACTCAATTGATAGTTTGAGATTGTACACACTGTAAAAAAAATATATATATTTATTTCTTTTGTCAAATCAACTTATATAATTTATGTAGTTCAGATAACATAATATTTTAAGTTTCTGATGATTAAATCAATCACCTTCATTGTATTAACTAAATTTTTCCATTTCAATGAACTTCATTTTTAAGTTAAACCAACAATATTTTTTTTACAGTGAGATTCACATTACTCATAATTATCGTTTAATTAAGCTGGCTTACTCAAATATTTGAGTTGCTTGTGTCTTACAGTGTCCCAATTTGTCATGGTACCAAGTATATATATATATATATATATATATATATATATTTTTTTTTTTTTTTTTTTTTTTTACTTATATCTACCAAATTTACTCAATATTTTTAAGTGTAAATGTAAAATAAAATGGACTACATTATAGTTTAAATTTAGAGTTTGGATGACAAAATTGCATGCATAACATGACTGAGACAATAGAACATACCTTTAATATCATTTCTGGACATCCTGGTAGGACATCGATGTCAACAACACAGTCCAACGCTAACTGACTGCTTCCTGGTGAAGGACCTTTCCAGGCACTGGTTATCGTTGTACTGTATCTATAGGTGTGCCTTTGGCCTTTCTGCACATCTGTACATACAATAAAAGTCATGTGTGTGTGTGTGTGTGTGTGTGTGTGTGTGTGTGTGTGTGTGTGTGTGTGTGTGTGTGTGTGTGTGTGTGTGTGTGTGTGTGTGTGTGTGTGTGTGTGTGTGTGTGTGTGTGTGCGTGTGCGTGTGCGTGTGTGTGTGTGCGTGTGTGTGTTTATTTATACTTTAGGAACAAATTTGTCCCAGAAGTCAGCTAAATCAGACAAAACCTCCATTTGGTGGAATCCATGTAAAAATGATAAAGTAAATACTGGTGTTGCAATTTTTCATTCTTAGTCAATAACATATTCTCTTACCAGGGCAAGTAGATTTGCAAAGTTGACCTTGGTGGAGTTTGTGGCAGTCAGCTTATAAAAACATAAGCAAGTTAAAAAAAAAATTAAAAAAAAACATAAGTGAATGCAGAAGTACTAACATTTGCACTTGCAAGGCTACTTGACCATTTTATAACATATTCAAAGGAGGATATTAAAGAATAGGATATGAAACACTTACCACTGAAGAAGATAAGCAGCATGATTAAACAGAGATTTTGGAGCGATAGACGCACCGGAGACATAGCCATAAGTGATTGGATTTAAAGTAATGCCCTGCACCAGCACTTGTAGGAAGAGACCATTACTAGGAACGCATAACCACATAAGTGAATGGATAGATGTTGAGTTAAGCCTTTGTAACAAACCCACAGGGCATTCAGACACCAATCAGAGGACAGATGCCCACCAGGGGACCATCCAGCTAACAAAATCTCGCAGCATACCGATGGACATCTTGAACTGAGTCTCTGCCTTCTCACAACATGCTCACGCATTCGGCATGGCTTGAGCACTGAGCAAAGTTTTACCTTATTTTATTATTTTAATTGCAATGTTTGTGAAATATTTTGTGTTTAAAGTGCAATTTGTTTTATTTCATTTCTATTTTAGATTCTCACGCCACTTGTGCTGTGTGTTATAGGCTTTATGCAATACAATCGGCAGAATTTATGGCATAATGTTACACTGGGGCACTTAGTGGATGGGGACCATCTGTAAACACTTACTCGCTGTTACAAAAGTATCACGAAAGGTGTAAATAAAACGTGTATCGTGATTTATGAGTTGAACATCACTTACTGGCTTTTTTGTGTGCAGTATATTAAATTTTACAACCTTGCTGCTATGAAAATCTCCAAGGTTTTAACAGATAAATCAATGTAATTGTTTTTTATGAATTGCATCACATTTGTGCTTTAAAATCCAAAGATGTGCCTCATTCACTTCCATTATAAGTGCCTCACCACAATTTTTATCTTATTTTTAAAGAAAATAAGCATGACTCCTGCCATCTGATAAATAGTTTATACTTTTACAGCAAGTAAAAGTAAAAGCCCTTTAGTGTAATTGTAAAAACGGCCACTTCAGGTCATGTGTCTTGTTTGCTGTGAAACCTTTACTGATTTTTACTAAGTGGAAGAATAGAGCCTATAGTTGTTCGTTTTTTAAAAATAAACTCTTAACCCTTTGATGTGCAAGCAATGCCCCTCTAATGCACAACATGGGTCTAAAAAGACCCGTATTCATTTCCTATATTATTTCATGCATGAAAGTAATATCTTATCTTTTGATATCACTTTATTTAAACATTTTATACAGTATTTCATGATCTATAAATTTCATGATTTAAAAAATCAAATTTATTATTAAAAATGTCTTGTTTTCAATTATCACATATTCCTATTTTTAATATTTTCTAGTTTTTGTGGAAATACATCAAGTTTACACACATGGGTCTAAAATGAGCTGCAAAATGATATGCAAGGGTGTTAAAACAAAAGAATAAAGACTTTTTGTTAAAATGTCATAGTTTAGATTTACACATTTACTGTAACTCTTGAAATGTTTATTGGCCACTTTGTCACATAACACACATACAACTGATAAAACTGAAACTGAACTGTAGTTTAGTGCAAGTGTAGGGGATCTCCCTCCCCTCCACCAATGTGCAGCATCCACCCGGATGATGTGTCAGCAGCCATAGTGCACCAGAACACCACCATTTATGACCATAAATAAAAATGAATATGGAGAAGGTTTCTGCCCAACGGCAACAATATACTTGTATATATAACTTTTTAGTGCAACTTTTATTTTGTTGACCTCAGCTAACTTTAGATAAAATAGAATATGTCGGCCACAAGCTAGCTAATAGTATTGGACATATTTCTCTTTTGCGCTTGGATTTCAAGGTCAAGGTAAAATACATTTCTTTCAAATATTCAGCAAAGAAAAATGAATGCGCATCTTTTTAGACCCATGTTGCGCATTAGAAGGGTATAGTGACACAAAAACGTGTGTTGATTTTTATTCAAAAAGTATAAGGATTTGTAATGATATAAAACAAGCTAACTGAGGAATACCTGGAATATTGAATGATTAAATTAAATTCTTGCAAAATGAAAACTCAGTCGAGTCTATTTTAGACCCATGTTGTGCATCTAAGGGTTAATGGATTGCAAAGTAGTTCAAAGAATTTTGTAATATGAAACCTGACAACGCCCACTAGGGGAGGGGATGCAAAAAGAATTAAAAGTACTGTTACCATAGTAACACAACGTCCAATTTCAAAACGGTTTTCACTGGATGTTTTTTTGAGTACGCAAGCTTTCGAATGATACCTAATTCATGATGATTACTAAAATATGTGATATGAAAAAAAGCGCTAAATAAAAAAGAAAACCAAGCGTATACCTGCTAGCAGGATGGTGAAAGTTAAGGGGTTAAAATCTCTGAAAATTGGACATATAATATGCCTAAAAATCTGTTTTTATTGGATTCACATTACTTATTGTTGAATTAAATTGGCTTACTCAAATTTTTTTTAGTTTCTTGACTTTAATTTTGTTTTTGTTTTGTTTGTTTTTTTACATATTTTGAATTTACTTAACTTATTTTTTTTGACATATATTTCCCAAAAGGTATACGGACTTTTCAGATTTTACTCAATATTTTAAATGAAAATATAAAAATGTTTCACATAAAAACTGACTCTTAATGGACTGAAGTGTATATATATATATATATATATATATATATATATATATATATATATATATATATATATATATATATATAGATTTATATTTCATTTATTGCATATATTATATATATATATATATTTATATTTATTTATATATATATATATATATATATATATACTATATATATTTATATATTTCATTGCATTGCATATATATATATATATATATATATATAATTATTATTATTATTATTATTATTATTAACACAATGCAATGCAGACTTATAAATACAGGTAAAGCACATACAAATAAACAAACAAAAAATTACTATATATATTATATAGTAATAGATCCATACTATATAGTATTTTTTGTTTGTTTGTATGTGCTTTACCTGTATTTATAATTATGCATTGCATTGTGTTGTGTTATAGGGTTAACAGAAAATGCGTGTGACCTCTGACATATAGCAATTGTAAGTCGCTTTGGATAAAAGCATCAGCTAATTGCAACTGCACCATATAGTATATATATATATTTTTGCTTATGGCCTCTGAATATAATTAAGGAGATATAAGATATATGATAGTGATAGTAAAGTTTAAATCTAGTCTGTTCACTGAAGACAGGGAGGAATAGAACGGCTTGTCCTTAACTATGGCACCATCTTCTGGGCTAGCTGTGCAGTGAAGCACATTAATAAACAAAAGATGCAAGTGCAAAAGCTATTTTCCTAATTATTATTGTTATTTGCAGTAAAAATCTTGAATCACTCTTTAAAACAAGAAGCAAAAAATAATAGTTAAATCAACATGGTGTGTATGTGTGTGTGTGTGTGTGTGTGTGTGTGTGTGTGTGTGTGTGTGTGTGTGTGTGTGTGTGTGGCCTCAAACCTTACATGGACAACACACACACACACACACACACACTATCTACAAAGCCTTTATTTTCAGTAACAGTATTCCATTATTCCTTTCAATCCTCCCAAGCACTACCTATAGGCTATTTTCCACTACACATTTCACTGTGAAGTGTTAGACAAAAAAGGGAGGAGGCCATCATGCATGATTCACAGCATCTGTTGAGGCTTTCAGGTTGCCCTACTTCATCCATAGTGACTCTCTATATCTCATAATCATGGCTTTTCATGGCTTGTTACTCGCTGTAATACTCTAACACCAGACTCCATCTGGTCTTTGGAGGAAAGGCTGAAGGCCTGGACTGATGAACTCAACTGGGTCTAATCTGCTGGGGTGTTCATTGTGCACTCCGATGAAACAGTTTATGGCAAGAGGCTGTTGTTTAGAAACAGTACAAACTATTTCAAAGGATTTATATTTTAGGGTTAGAGAGCTTCGTAAGAGATGAGTGAGTGTAAACAGGGCATGATCCCACCTCTATTTTATTACACTGAAGCAAAAAAACAGACCAACATGTAATTCCACGAACTAAATACTACTCCTTTCTGCATTAGAGCTGTTTTGTCTAGTAGATTAGGTACGATTATGACGAATGAAGAGGACACCGCCTTCCACATCTTCATTTAGTCTGCACTATGACGTCACCAACTGATAATAATTCATTTGAGTACCTAGCTGTTATTATTACTATTATTAATATGCTCTAGGCCTACTCGAAGTAAACTGCACTGTGATCAGAATTTATTTTTCCCGACAATTTCATTTGACTTATTATTAAATGTTCTCTTTGCTCCACGCCCGTAGTGCGCGTCAGTTCACCACGTGATTCGGTGTTTCTCTTTGCATGCTGACGACTGGACGATTACGAAGCCTACTATGGCAAATGTTGGTGCATGAATATAAATTAAGCCACTTTGAAGTTGCTTAGTAACCTTCCTGGTTCTGCATTATACTTAATATTTATGAGCTCGCCATGATTCGTGTATTCGCCTGATTAAGCCACGCCTATTTACTCACATCTGCTTTTCAGCCAATCCGTTAAGCCTATTGGGCGAACGGTGTGTTCCGCAATTAATATTCATGAGCCAAGCCTTCTCCGTAGTATTCCGAAATTCGCTACCGGGGGCGTGGCGTGGGCTTTGCCGGTTTCAGCAGCAGCAGACACAATGAAACGAGGGGCAATGTAGGACACCACGTTGGAGCTTGAAACTCAGACACACGTCGGTAGCGTATTATTATTTTATTTTTTTTTACTTCTTTTGGATATTTTGTATCGTTCATTTCATTTGGTTTGTTTGTATTCATCATAGATAGATAGCAAAGGTCACTGCTGCTGATGAGAAAAAACAACGTGTTGAAAGTCTTTGGGAAGAACCGCACGGGCTCAGGAAACGAGGCTCTCCATCAGAACTTTAGTTGTGTCGTTAAACCCAGTCGCGATTAAAAAAAAAATGTCGTTCGCCTATTCGGATTATCTGGCCGCTGAGTGTCTGGTGTCGATATCCAGCGGTCCCGTCCTCCATCGACCCACCCCGGTGTCTGGTGCGGCTCAGGCCCCTCCTCAGGGCCTTCCTGCCGGGGAGCCAGACGGGTCGAGCGAGGACAGGGAGGTGCGGGAGACGCTCCGGTTAGAGGGGGCCAATATGATGACGGTGGCGGAGATCCTCACCGACCTACACGACAAGTTTCGTCCCATGTCGGCCTACTCCGAAAGCAGCAACTCGTCATGCGGAGAGAGCGGCTACACCACGTTGTCTGACTCCACCACCCCGACACCGACCATGACCCCCTCTGCCACCCCTGTCCCGGGACAGTACAATAACACTCAGCAGTTTTGGGGAGGAGGAGGCGCACCCCGGTCCCCCACCAAGCGTCACCCCTGTACTTTCGACGGTTGTGACAGGGTATATGGCAAATCATCCCACCTGAAAGCCCACATCAGGACCCACACAGGTAAGCTGAAGCACATGGAAGCGGATGGACGCTTACGCCGCGCCGCAGTCATACATCATGTAGCTAACGTTATGTACATTGAATATGCGCATTTATACTCTCCTTGTCATTAACTTGGATCGTATGGAATGTATACAGTTTTAAAAACTGTTCATAATCTATCTATTAGTTTAAAAAAATCCCGCTGGAAGGGTTTAACCATATTATTATGGGTTGTTTTATTGGAGTAACTTTTAACTGTCGGCCGTTTGTTTGTTGACTGTTGTCAAGGGCTCCCTCTGTCAGCTCTCACTAACCGCTATGAATAGAAATAATAAAAGTGAATTTGTGGGTAATAATGAAATTCACTACTCGTTAGTTGAACAAAAGGGTTAAAACTCCCAACTGTGGCCTCCGAACAAAGAAAGTTTATGAACAAAGGAAGGAGCGCGTGAGGGTGGACGAGTAGTAGTAGTGTAGTGACGAACCCTGCATTTGCATATGAACAGAGCTCGATTACAGAACTTGCGCGTGCGCGGTTCCCATGTAAATGCACTGTCTGTTATTTGACTAATGCTAAAAAAGCCATTTAAGCCACACCTGGCCTTTCTCCATGAGCTGTTCAAAACGGTCTTTATGACTGGTTTTGTTCATGAATTTAGTTTACTGTTCAGACAAAGTGATAGTTTTTAAACAGAACACAAGTGCAGGACCTTGTATAGTAAGATAAACTAGTAGGCCTACAGTTACTAGTACACTAAGAAAATGCAAACGCTGCCTACTTAACTAAGAAATCATTAGTACACAGAGTTAGGGCTATATGACTTTCATTACAGTTTTAAATTACTTCATAAAGTATTTAGTAACATAATCCAAGCACCACAATATTAAAGTAATGTAATCTGATTACTTTTGGATTCCTGAAGTCGAGTGAAAGTTATTTTTAGGAGAATAATTGAGCATGCACCAGGATAGCGACAAAACCAGCGGTCAAATAAAAGCATCAACTAAATTCGCTGTTAATATAAATCATCCACCCACCCACCACCTACCTGAACCTGTGATTATTCTCTGATTTAAAAATCTGCACCCAATCGTCACATTACAAATATTCTAATTCTCAGTGTTAAGCATGATGATATAGTAACATTGTATTGAAGTACCGGTAGGCTGCTTTTAAATAACATTTGGCTTTTTTAAAGTAAAATTTCTTCTTTGGCCAAATTGCATTTCCTTAATAGGCTAAACACAGGCTTTAATCCTTCAAACGTAGAATTGTCACCGTTTCCATCAGTGCAAATTCCTGAACAAACACACACAAGAAATTAAATTCGCTCATCCCAAGCAAAGGCTAGATTATTTACTATTAGGCTTAATGAGTTTGTTGTCATACAACACTTCACAGCCATTACATATCGCATACTCATCACCTGATTTGTCCTGGTTAACTATTCATTAAAATACACGCACAGTTTTTTCTTTCCTTTTGTTTTTAATTCTCCTTTTCAAAATTTCTCTCGGATCTGTGTTCAAGCCCCATAATGGTTTCACTTAATTAGTTTTAAGTGAAACCATTGTAATCCTGATAGTATTTTATTTTATTTATTTATTTATTTATTTTTACAAAATGTAGGCTAACTTTAATCTTATTTTGATTTCTTGTCTTTTTAACGTAACTGTAATAAATTAGTTTCCAGATTTGTGTATCGTGATTAAGTTTTAGTAAGTTATTAGGATTAAGGTGTTGTTTTTGACCCATGTGACTTAGATTGTAACAAATGAGTTTATGATGCCATAAACTCATTTGTTTATTATACCATAACATTATTTTAGAATACAATGTTTAAATAATACAATGTTTAAATATTATTACTCACCAAAATGAGCATGTTGGATTCTCTTCCACATCTTATTGAGCTTGATTGGTTTAAAATAGTTTGAATTCTTAAACTGACAAGACATTAAAAACACATGCAAATGATTAACTTTCGTGATGGCCTTATTGGTTCTGTCGACTGACCCCGGTACAGTATGCTAATGATAGCTGGTGATCAGTTACAGATTGCAAATGATACACATTTTAGTTATTAGTAGTGTAATCTATTACATACAATTTAGTTAATGTAATCGTACAACTTTTAATATGACCGTCTTGTATCATATTGAATAAAAATACAAAAAAATACATGAAGGGCATTACATTACATCAGGGTTTCCCAGACTGGGGTTTAGATCACTAATCAGATTAATAAATTATTGACTTAATTATTAAATGTATTAGGTGAAAAGAGGTGTGACTGGCAAAAACAAAAAAAGTTTCTGTTTACCTGCATTAATAAAATGTAATTATGAAATTATATGAATTTGTGAATTTTAATGTTATTGAAAGTCAAAACCCTTCCAAAGACATAGTCATACATTGTTAAATGAGTGACTATTGGCTGGTCTTTGTGTGCAATTTAACAAATCTAGTGCATGTATTATATCACTTATATAAGTGATAGGCTTTTTTAGAAAGTACAAGTAAAAAAGTTTAAAAAATCAATAAATTCTGAATAATTTACTAACATTGTGTGAATATGTAATCAATAAAAAATTTAACTGCAATCTGATTATGAATAATGTTCAATGGATCACAAAACACGCATTATATTACACTTTTTAAATCACAGATCAGATCAGATCATTTTTCGATTAGCATGAAAAATAAATAATTTGAAATGGGGGGGGGGGGGGGGTTTATGGCTTTTGTTTGATTAACATGAATGACAGACAGCAGCAGGTATTTATAGGCTGCTGTCACTTTAAGACCTTACGCACGGGTCCAATATAATGATAAACATTCGATTTCTTTCTCAACTGTTTACGTTCACTTATGACATAACCAACTACAGTTACGAAAATACTTGCAGAGACGTGGTCTGGAAACCATGTTCATTTTCTCGTATTTGAGGCATGGTTTACGAATGCCCAGAGCCGTATTATTGGCTGCTACGAATGTCTATCAAATGCGCCTGTACGTAGCTCATAGCCAAGCGATTTAATTATACCCGATGATGTATGTAGAGCGACAGAAAATAAGACAATGAAGACGACGATGGGTCAGAGATTTAGGAGATTTATGTATACGCAAAATGTGTTTCTCAATGTCAAGGGTACTTCCTTGGCAGGACGGTCTTTCCAAGTCATTTCCTTCAGAGGCTAGACGAGGCTCCTTTTTAGCATTCGGAGAACACGTAAATGAAACAGGCTAGCACGTGCACGCCATTGCGTCATTTACATCAGTTAAAGGTCCGCTTTCGGTGCTGCAAAAATGGTAGTGCTACTGATTTGGTTGTTGTACCACACTGTTTAAACACACTTGACCACCTTTATTTTGTCTTGTCAGCTCTCATAGAAATAAATAAATAAAAGTAAGAGCAGAGAATGTCTAATTGAAGAGAATTGGCACTGGCTGGTTACTTCCGGGTTCTGGACTGGCTGCAGTAACACGTCTCTGTCCATGCAGGGGCGCTCGCGGTTGAGTGCAGAATGAATGGGAGTCTATGGGGTTTCACCCCCAGAAATCCACTTTTCTCAGGATGCAATTTTTTGTCAAGTAATTTTAAAGTAGCATTCAAAAGGGAGGGCATTTTTAAGTTCACTTATCTGTTCTAAAAATCCGTTCAAAACTGTGATGACGTCACACAATAGCAGAATGCTAGCGTGTTCCGGCCAACAACGGCCTAACCTGTAAGAAATCAAAAGGACATAAGTACTCGTTCATTCGACTTTTGGCCTATAATCTATATTGAACTTGCAGAATCAACAATAAAATATATATTGATTCAACGACAAGCAGGTGAAAGAGACACATGTAGCCGTTTAGCCCCATAGACTCCCATTCATTCTGCACTCGCCCGCGATCACCTCCAGTGGAATTCTAATGGAACTGCAACCACGATGATACACAACGGGGCTAATAGGAAGTGCCAAGGCTCTCCGTTAGACGGGCTCTGATAAGGGATAATGTATAGCGAGACGGTTGTTATAGCGAATACAACCCTGCGAACTCTAACGCGAATCGGAAGGGTCTTGAATCAGCCTGAAGGTGTTGTATTCGCTCTAACAACGGCCTCGCTATACATTTTCCCACTTATAACATGGCTACCTACCAAATAAATCAATAATTTGAGACAAAATATTGATTTAAAAAGGATTTTAAAATGATTATATTACCGGAGTGAACATCTGTGTCCATAGCTGTTAAAACGCATGAAATGGTAAAATATGTGATCAACAAAAAAGGCTACTGTAATATGAAGTAAAAATTTAAAAAGTGACCAGTAAAAGGGAACAGCTTTAAATCCCCCCTCTGCAAATCAGTTGAGCCGATATGTTTAATGTCAAACGTTAGGCTGTATCAAAAAGGTAAATTCACGTGGTCCATAGATATAAACAAACTGCTTCGGTGTGTCAAATAGACGTCATCATCGACTTTGACTTCTCAAAACTTTTTAAGTTTTTAAAATCATTCAGTTATCTCAAGCTACTGCGATATGCATATGTGCATTTGCAATATTTGGAATATTTTTTTATATATTGTGCAGTCCTAGTTGCTAAAAAACTAATATAGTAGCTGTCTGAAGTTTATCAGTTAGTATGCTTTATATCTAGAATAATAGGTTGCACAGGTGCCAAGCCCTTGCTTTCTTTATAGTGCACTTGTGTGTTTTATACGGCGTTAGTTTCATCTAATGAGTTGTGGATCGTCCATGTGCTCTGTCTAGGTGAGAGGCCCTTTCCTTGCACCTGGCCCGACTGCGAAAAGAAGTTCGCCCGTTCCGACGAGTTGGCCCGACACCTGCGCACCCACACTGGCGAGAAACGCTTCCTGTGCCCACTCTGCGACAAGCGCTTCATGCGCAGCGACCACCTCATCAAGCACGCCCGCCGGCACCCCAACTTCCACCCCTCCATGATCAACCGCAAGGGTTCGGCTCAGGGATCCGCTTCAACCCAGCCCACCGCCGCCTCCTCAGAGTACGCCAGCACTGCCATGTAGACCCCTGCCTTCTGCACTGTGACCACCGTCTCTAAGACACTGCAGCTTACTCGATCGCCGTGCATGCTGGGATCCTTTCAAGCTCAGTCCTCACTTCCACAGGCCAAAAATGAAGAACTTTCACCACGTCTTCCTCCGAACCCCTTCGCCCAACCAGTGACGACCAAAACGGGCGAAGGAGACACAAACGCTCAAGCACATTCCCAAGTCACGTGATTAAACGATCACATGACCGACAAGTGACTGCGAACGCAGCATTGGCTTGCTTTGGGTGTTCTAGATTCATCTGAAATGCCGTAATGGCCCTTTTTTTTGGGGTGCATGCAGACAAAATTGCGACCAGCAGCAGCACAATGTTTTCTGTCGGCCATCGTTGTCGTTTCACTTGTCAGCCATGTTTTTGAAACTTCCTAAAGGATACGTCACAGTTTAAGGGAAAGTTTACTCGTTCTTTGGTCTTTTTTACAGTCGTTCCATCTATCGTCGAAAATTTCGCACAAAATGTCTTTTTGTATAGCCAGAACGGCAAAACCGGTCAGTTTTTTTGTTGTCCACACATGCTGTACGACACAATAACCAGGTTCAATTGCAGAATTTCACAAAGTATTTGTGTGTTACTCATGAATCAGTCACGCATAACACGTGCAGTGACTTTATGCATTCTTAAACCTACTTGGCTTTGCGAAAACTTGAAGTTGTGATGTCAAGTTTATCCATTCCTTCAACGAATTCTATTCTTGACCACCTTTGAAAACCAAACAACGCTATCGATTGAAACCGAAACGGCCAGTGAGTTTCTTCCGGGTAGAAACACTGCCTGCAATGCCGCATTTCCACATAGCTTTCCCTACTGAAAGTTGTAGTAAGTTATTGTCAACTTAATTTCCTTTTGTTTTCTATTAGTAGTATAAGCATGGCAACTGAAAAAGTAGGCTTTTTTATTGTTCATTTTATTAGACCATGAATTTAATATTATTATTATTATTATCATTTTCCACTTTGTTTGGCCATGTAATGTTGATACATGTAGCAATGTGTTTAATAGTAATGTGGATACGTGTAGATAAATATCTATGCTTGCAGCTTCAATGGTAAAGATGTTATATAAACTACTAGAAGTAATACACCTCATATTAGGGGTGACAGTACACGCTTGAATAGAATAGTGCTGCTTGTGTGCGAATGTGTGCGCGTCACGTTCGTGTGTGTGTGTGTGTGTATTCACGCGGGAGAGCCGGGAAACGATCTCTCTCCAAAACTGTCCCTCCCGTGGACCTCTTACAACTATCTCAGAGAACAAAAAAAAAACACATCAGGAAACTCAGAAAGCCTTAATCTACTTGTTTTGCACCATTGTTTACTGTCGGATATTTTCTACAGGTATGCCGTCAGGCGTCGTTCTTCTCGACTAAAGAAATACACATGCAATATTGCACTTTTTTTCTTACTGGTGTTGTCAATAATGCTAGTCGTCTGCTAGTGTGATGGGTTTCGCTGCATAGATGCTACTGCATAGTGCTCAACTATACGAACACTGTGGAAGGGGATACAAACCTGTCACAATAAATCGATACATTTGTCTAAATGCGCACCTTCGTCTGAGTGCTTAAACCAGTGTGAGGAAAAATAGACTTGATTTTTGTGGACTTTTCACTTTCGTTTGTATTTTGCTTTACATTTTGGAGTGTAATGGATGCAAAAGCTCTGAACTCGGTTGGGTCTGGTATCAAAACTACAGCTTTTTTTTAATGGTTCATCACACCGTTCTTCTAATCAATGCAATATTCGGAGTGCTTTGAGCTTTACTGCTGGCAGTAACTTAAAGCACGATGACAACTGACAAGTTAACAAACCAAACCAGAATAGCATTTTGTTTGTTCTGTAGCTACTTAAAGTATGTATTCGTCACAATGCTTGAATGTTTGGCCGGGTTTTTTATGTCGTCTTTTAGTAGTAGTTCTCCTGTTGTGAGTCGTCTGGATCTTTTGACCGTTGACGACATCAATGGTTCACTGTGTTGGGCTGCGGTGGGCTTTGTATGTGATTCTCGACAGACTGAGACCATTGTGATCACGTCTTTGGACTTTCACTCACAATGCCCTCTTTTAGCAGTCCGGATTCAACTTTGTATTTGATATCCCTCCCATTATACTCGACACATTCGCAGCTAGTACTCTGGACAGCCATCACAAACCACTGGATCAAATTTGATATTATTATTATTATTTTGTGCGTGTTTTGTGGTCTTTAATTTCAGTTATTATATTTTGCATTTAGTTTGATGTACTGGAAAGTCTTGTTTCTTATGCTTTTGTATTGGTTTATGTACTGTAGATGTCTATAGTATGCAGAACATAGCTTTCTAGATGGTTTAGGACAGAACCCAGATAGCTTCGCAATCGTATATTGGGGAAAACATGTATTCTGTAGTTCCTTCGGGAAAAATGCTGCAACTTTTGCCGTGTTCGAGGCATCCGATGTCTTGCGTGTCAAACTAAGATGTGCGTGAGCGCGGCTGCTTTTAATCGCGAGAGTAGAGTGAGAATATGTAGATTGACGATTTTATTTTAAGAACTGTTTTGTTGCTTGGCGTACAATCTAGATCTTGTCCATCAGTTTTGACACACTAAAACGATTATGCACTGATTGGCAGATTGTCTGTAGCGAACACACTAAAAGGATGTCTAATGAGATCTATTAAGTTCTCAGTCTACAGCCATGTCTCATATCAGTGGACCTATGGGTTTTGTCAATACAAAAGCCTCCATGTATCTCCTCAGGTGATGAAACGTAATGCTGAAAACCTCTGTCCTTCACGAGTAGGACCTAATGTTAAACGTTCTTTTCATTTGCTTTGTTTTGCAATTCTCTGCCATTTTATTTATTACATGCTTTTGTTTTGGTGTGCTTTAAAATATCTTCTTCTTTTTTACAGTACTTACAGTACTTATTTTAAGGTATGAGACTTGACTAATAATTTGCTTTAATTCGTTGTTTGCCTCCAACAAAAACAAACAAACAAAAAATACCCTCCAGTGCTTTTTAAATAATAAATAAATGGATTAAGAATTATTTTGTGTTTTGGTGTTTTTTTATTTTTATTTTATTTATATATATATATATATATATATATATATATATGAAAATACTGAGATGTGACTGTGATTAGTTTTATTTAGCTTATCATGTGTCCTCAAATACATATTGGACACAAAAATGGTCATTATGTTTTTCAAAAGATGAGACATGCTGTACTTTATTTAAAAAAAAAAAAATTCTAATTCTTGCATAACCTAATTGATTGAAATACATTCTTATTTAAAACAATATTATGTAATATATAAATCCTGTCATCAGTTTAAAAATTTGAGTTAAAAGTGACAAAATATTTGTTTTTCTTATTTTTTTCTTACTACTCTTATTAGCATTCATGCTGCTTTTTCTCGATGCAGCATATTTGAAGAAAGATCCAAAGAATAGGTAGTACCCTTGAAATAGTGCATGAAAGAAATAGTGCATGACAGTGCATTGTGAAAGAATGGTTGGAAAGAGCTTGAAGAATTCACTTTCACACACGAGTCCAGACCTTAAATTCACTGAAAGTCTTTGGGATGTGCTGGAAGAAACGTTATAGAGTGCTGGATTCTTGCATTGCCAATACAAGATCTTGACCAAAAACTGCATCAGTTTCCCTTCAAAGATCCCAACATATATTTCCATCAAGAAGTGCATACATTTTTGGTCAAGATCTTGTTTTGACAATGCAAGAGTCCAGCACTCGGCAAAGTCATGACACACATTTTGAGTAAACCTAAAAAATTTAGAAGCACATTCATGAAAATAAATCCAGAATTGTATTGTAATAGTAATATCACTTAACTCAATTAGTGTTTATTTTATCACCACTTTCATCTGTTTTTTGTATTGAATCTGGTCTTGTTGTACCTGTTTAATATTTCTCACAGCTTTCATCATTAGTGTGCTAATAATTGGTACACATGATTGTACATCTGTGTCAATATCAATCACCAATCCAGATATATAATTTGACTCACATTATTTATGTTTTTTCTTTGTGCTGTAATCTGACATTTGACTCGGTAACACTTTATTTTACAGTGTCCTTATTACATATGTTACATATTCTTACTATAGTAATAACAATAAATTATGCATAGATACATGCAACTAACCCTAAAAACCAACCCCTAACCTGAACCCTATAGTAAGTACATGTTGTTCATTAATATTACTCAATTCTTAAATGTATAATTACACTGCAACAAGGACGCCTTACAATAAAGTGTAACCGGCTCCTGTAAGAGCTCAATCATAGTTCCTCTCTCGGGCTGCTCTCAGAGACTGGCGTGGGAGTCTTATCGCCTCGACTGCGGTCTCCACGGATGTGATGACGGTCCCAGTCAGTGTCCACCGTCTCATCATTCCAGATGGTGGAGGTCTCTGTGTCGCTGAAATACCCCGACTCCCCAGTGTAGTGTGTGGGAAAGAGCAGCAGGGGTTCTACAGAGAAAGCCTTCAAGTCTCTCGGTTTGAAATGAGACATGTATTCCTCCCTACAGACAGAGGAAACACTACAGTTAGCCCACAGAAAGAGGTTTACATTACAATGTCTTTATAAAATCATTATGAAAAGTGCAACTCTTAACCCCTTAAAAGCATGCCTAGGGTCTTTAGTGACACGGAACATCATTCACTACCCTTGTTTATTTTTTAAAGTTCATCAAAGACATCAACCTACTTAGTATAGGCTATAACAAGACAAAAATAATAAAATGATTTTTAAAAATGTGTTTTCCCATTTTTTTTTTTACAAAAAAAAATTGTATTGGGTCGCTAACGACCCGGGTGTGTAACAGTGTTAGTATTTTTTTCTTCTGCACAACAATAATTTAATCTTTGATGATTGAATAAGTGCAATCCACCTTTATTCCACGAAGTGGCAATGTTTGATACACATGATGAAGTAACATTTCACTCATACCCCTTTTCCACCAAAAAGAGAACTGGTTCGGAACTGGTGCTGGTTCAAAGTTAGTTCGGAGTTGGTTCAACTTGCGAACCGCTTCAGAACCTATTTGTTTTTCCACTGACTAGAGCGCCCAGGGAACGACGTCGTTACGTCACTGTGTACTACGTCTTAGTTAGAAACGCTTACTTTCGGATTATCTCTAACTCGTGTACCAAGAAAGCTTTAAAAATATTTGAAATATGCAAGTCTTTTAATCTTTTCGTTTGATGTGTAATCTTTTCCGATAAGTTATGTACCCCTGTCTTGTGTCTTTTTTTCTTTATTTATTTGTCGTATATTGTGACTGTTTTCTTCTTTACTTATAATGTCTTCAATAAAAAAATGTAAAAAATAGAAACGCTTGCGTTAACTTCAAGCATAACAATTACAAAGACAGACTCCATCGCGTTTCTGCAAATGTTTCTCTTGCCTTTGCGATCCTTTATTATGGTCAGAAAATATGTTTAGAACACATCTAAACCCGCCCCAGCCCCCAATGTAAGCATGATGTGGTAAAAGAACGGTTCTAGTCCAGCAAAGAGTTGGTGCCGCTTTGGAACCAGTTCTCCTGGCGGAGAACCGGTTCTTTGGCTGTCGAAACACAAAGAACTGGTTCGCGCGCAGGCACCGGCTCCGAAACGGCTCTCAAAATGCTTTGGTGGAAAAAGGGGTGTCGTAGTTAACACAGGCAGAAAACAAAAGTATAGAAATACATCATCAGCAAAACTGGAAATGGCTCAGTGAAGTACTGAATGCAATGAAATATTAGTGACACTGTCACTTGTTGGTGGATCTGGTGAAGAAACTGTCAGCGATCAATATATTGATTTTGAATATGTTGAAATTTTGAGAATATGTTTGAGATGGCGAATTATGAGGCAGATGCTGAATGTACTGGTAACTGAGCTCTGACGAGGACAGTGATGATGGCATAAAACATCAGCTCAAACTGAACCCTTCCAAGCTCCAAAAGGTAACAAAACGTCTCGGTTACGTATGTAACCCTCGTTCCCTGAGTAGGGAACGGAGACGTTACGTCAGAAGTGACGGGGATTGGGGGATTTCGCATAGAAAGCCAATCCTCTTCGAGTATTAAAACACGAGCCAATGGCATGCAATGCCTTGGGGCTGCGGAAATTTGCATAGCGTACTCCGCCCTACACCGTGAGTATAAAAGGAGGAAGTCAACGCAACCGCAGTATGTCTTCGCTGAGGAGCCAAGACTGAACTCGGCCTCTACCCAGCGATACAGCAGAAGTGGCAGGGAGACGTAACGTCTCCGTTCCCTACTCAGGGAACGAGGGTTACATACGTAACCGAGACGTTCCCTTTCGTAGTCACTTCGAGTTACGTCAGAAGTGACGGAGATTGGGGGTCTGTGCCATCACGCCATCTTCAAGCTGTCTTCCAGTGCCCTGCGAAAGACTGAACCCCCGAGCCTTACCTCTTTTTTTTTTTTTTTTTTTGGGGATCCGACTTTGACACAGGATTACCAAGGTACACTGGGAAACATATCCCGAAGGGGACATGCTACCAGCTGCCTACCGAAGGGAGGACTTATGAATACACATATGGCCACATAGGAACGCATATGGAACACTGGAGTACCAACCGCAGGTGGCTACTGATTTAAACTCCAGGGGTGGTAGATGGCTTGCCAAGGAAGACACATGCTCAGAGAGGCTTACAGTGGATAATACACATGAGACGGTTACCATGGGAACCGTGCGCATGGAGGCACCTAGCTAGCATCCAGAGCAACGCAGTGGTGCCCGCATCGTCGGTGCTGGAGGACTCGAGACTTCAAAGGAAGAACTGAGGAAATATCGCACTTATCCAGTCCGGGGAGTGAGTGGCGAGCAAGCGAAGACACCTGAGCGGATCCAGAACTGGCCGAAACGAGTACGTGAGAGGATACCGGCTCAATTCGCAGATTATAGAATCTGGCGAAGGTGTTGGGTGTCGCCCAGCCTGCAGCTCTGCAGATGTCTGTTAGCGAGGCGCCGTGCGCTAAAGCCCAAGAGGAGGCTACACTCCGAGTGGAATGGGCCGTCACACCAAGGGGGCACGGAAGGCCTTGCTGCTGGTAAGACAAAGCAATGGCATCCACTATCCAGTGGGACAGCCGTTGCTTTGAGAGAGCCCTTCCCTTCTGGCTCCCTCCATGACAGACAAAGAGCTGGTCTGAGGTCCTGAAACACTGCGTTCTGTCGACATAGTGCGGAGAGCACGTACCGGACAGAGCAATGCCAAGGCTGGGTCTGCCTCCTCCGGGGGCAGCGCTTGCAGGTTCACCACCTGGTCCCGGAAGGGAGTGGTGGGAACCTTGGGCACATATCCCAGGCCGGGGTCTCAGGATCACGTGAGAGTAAGCCGGCCCGAACTCCAGGCACGCTTCGTCAACGGAGAATGCGTGCAGGTCCCCCACCCTCTTGATGGAGGCCAATGCAACCAGGAGTGCTGTCTTCATGGACAGAAACTGTAACTCT